TACTACTTTGAATAAGATGTTGACGCACCAAAAACAACAACATCAAGTTTGGCTCACCAATCAACTGCCTAAAGAAATTAAAAGAGGGAGATGTGGAGTTCCTTCACCCTTTGTTTCTCATTAAAACTGAAAATGTAATTCAGGACCCCATTCCGGTGGTCTCCATTCTGGTAGAAGTCCCCCAACACCCCTGCAAAGATATTCTCTGTCTCTCTTGTCTTCATCCATTTCTCTAATCAGGGTTTGCTGGTCTCACCCGGTACTAGTGGAAGTTGAATTTTGTACCTCCTACAAGTAGGTGCAGATTTTACTAAAATGGGATTTAAAAAAAGAAACCTAGGATGAATGAGCATTTGGACAGTAGTGTGCTAATCCAAATATCAGGGCTTTTATTTAGCCCTTCAGATTTTGTTAAGCAGTTAAAGAGATATGTGGGTCCCTGTGCTTGGCTCCTGATCAGGACTTTGCAGGAAAGCTGGTGGCCTCTCTTTCTGTTGGAAAAAGAAGAGGCCAAATAAGCCAGATATTGGAGGAAGGATGAGGAGGAGGGTTATGGGACATGGTCAGACCAGAAAGGACACCAGGGTAGAGCCTACCTCACATCTGGCCATGTTTGAGCATCCATGTAAATGAGCCTCCATAGATATAAGCACTGTGAACACACTAGATACATACTCAGAGGTCCTATAGAACTGCTGCCCCAGCTCAAGGAAGCTCCGTCAAAGCACAGCGGGAGGGGTGGCCTGCGCTGTGCCTGGGACACCAAACATGGCTGAGTGATCTGCTGGGATACAGGGTCGCAGAAAGGCAGAGTTTCTCATCACTTGGTTCTGGCACTTTCATTCACAAATTAGGGTATCAAGGCCAGGAGCCTGCATAGAACCTTTCACCAGGAATCTGAAAGACACTCTACCACATGGCCTGGTCCCTGCCTACAACCACTCATGTCAATCCTGCCCAGCATGGTCCTGGCCTCCCACTTGTTGGTCATTCCCTGGTCACTGTCCTCTCCTGCCTCTGACATCTTCCTCACAGAACCTTTCCCTGCTTTATCCTTTCTCAGGGCCACCTAGATGACCTCTGAGAAGGCTTCCCTTGGCCCACTTGGGATTGTTTCTATTTTCCTCATGCCTTTTGTCTATTACCCATCTGTGATCATTTTCCTACAAGGAGTCTACCTCTTAGTTGCAAATTCTGTGGACGAGGAAATGAGGCTTGCTGGTTTTTGTCCTGTCCTTTCTGCTTCTAATCCTGAACTTCAGCCTAGCTGGTCTGTGAGATAGCTGATTTGAGTATCATGGGTTGGCCCATGTGGAAGACCCTGGGTAGTTAGCTCCAGAGCTGATTCAGGGTTCCAACATCCTCTGTACCAAGTGCAGCTCTTGGTCTTAGATTCCTTCAGCAGGAGTATTCTGTGTGCTTCTCAAAGTTGCTCTTTCTCTAATGCACAGATAGGACTCTGGCCATTTTCCCTAATACATTTCAGAGAATCACTGCGAAATGTGTGAGCATTCTTATGTATGTGGCTGCAGTATATGGAGAGGCCGATACTAACATCCCAAAATAAGTCTTATAAGAAAGGGGCCCCTGACAGAGGGGTGAGTTTAGAGCTGACAGAGGGGTGAGTTGACAGATCCCCTACAACCCTCTCTCCTTCATTACAAACTTGCAAAGGTACTTCACACTGAACTATCCTAACAATCATTTTCTGTCTCTAGAGCATCTGCTAATTAGGTCTCTGGATAGAGAAAAAGGATCAAAATAATTTTCATGATGAACAAAATTATAATAAGCTAGGAATTCTGCACCTGTGGAATTGTATTATACCCATCTACAACTTTTAATCAGTTACTTTGTGACTTTCTCAAATATTTTTAATGTGAGCTGCTAGTGTTTAATAACAACAACAACAACAAAGAGCAGTGCATACAGAGCCCTGTTATTTGGTAAGGCCAAGGACCCATGGGCAGAGAATGCTGCCTTTTGTCTCTCCATCCCTCCAATCTGACCTTGGGCCATGCACCCTCCAGGAGCTTCTGTTTCTAGAGGGGTTATTGTAAACCTGTGCAAAGTATCAGCACATAGTAGGTGCTCAAAGAGTGTATATATGGCTCACTTTATAAGTCTAACCTGTGTATTTTGTAAATAACAGGAGGCAAGAAATGAAAGTATTGATTGTCACTATCTAGCTGTTCTAGGATAATTGTTACAATAAGCCCATAATGGCTTCACCTAAATAATAGTGATTACTAAGGATTAGGATTTTTCATGCTCATTTTGATGTTTCATCTAATTACACGCATCAGTGTTTCTGGTGTGAACAACCTGAATGATGAGTTCTGAGTTCGTTCCCATCCCTGAGAGAAAGTGTTACTGATGGGAAAGGAGAGCCATGGATAGGGTTCAGTGGATGGGAAGTAAGGGTGCATCCCACACCTCACCTGCATTTGGCCTCTGCGCAAACCTGGCCTTCCAGATGTGGGGTCCCTGGCAGTGCCCTGTGGTCTGAGACATTCCAGACCTGTCCTGAAGATACTTTTCAGCTAGCATCCGTTTGATGCTCAACACTAATAGGAACATTTAATTATAAAATCTCTTCGCCCCAAAATGAGGCAGGATCTGCTGGAGCCCTGTGGACACTCCCACAAGGCAGGTAGCACACTGGCTCCCAAAAGATGACAGTATTTTTCATGCCTGGGCCTTTTCAGTTCATTTGAAAATAAAATTCATTGATTCATAATATTGCCATGATCAGGCATGTGTGTGAGTGTGTGTGTGTGTGTGTGTGTGTGTGTGTTACTTTCAGGAAGAGAAGACTGTCATGTGATCTCAACACTCAGAACAGAATCAAATGTGAAACTCACACCTGGACAAAATGTGAGCATCAGCAATGGCTGCTGTCACAAAGCAAGAGTGACACGGACCTCAGATTACAAGATGCAGATGGCTCCTTGGACCGCCCAACTCTTGGGGTGAGGGAGAATGTGTAATCCTCTTTGAACCTTATCTGACCCCTGCAAGGCGTCCAAAGTTTTATTTGAGGTGATAACATGTTGCAGAAATATGCCAAAGTAGCTGGAAATCATGTGGTAACCACAACAGCTTCCTGAACAAGATGTTTTCACCATCATACTTTGGTAAAGGAGCTGAAAGAGCATATTTAAAATATGTAACCAACAAGTAACCAACAAAGGTTACTATTTTTAAAAGAATAACAATAAACAAGGAAAAGCTTAGCAATACAATTAGGAACATGAATAAATAAATAGGTAGTTTGCTGATAAAATACAGGTGATAGATATGTGAAAAGATGGTCAGTTCACTAGCAATTTGGGGAAAATATATTTAATCAGTTTTGCAGAAACAGAAGGTTTGCAAATATCCATATTAAGGGTTAAGTATATCTAGAGAAATGACACTGTAGGTGGGTAAGTGAATGGGTGGCAAGAGCCTTTGGAGGTAGCAATTTGGCAGTTTTTACTTAAAATGAACATGCCCTTTGCCCTGGAAACTGCTTCTAGGAAATTCAATTAAAGGAATAGTTTGCACATGTGAATAAACATGTATATGAGTACATACATATGTGCTAATGTTTTCACCATAAAGTTGCATAATCAGAAAAAGCTAATCTTTATACTTTGGATACCATCACTCAGAAGGAGAAAGCTATATAAGTGCGGACTTGGCCAGATTTTAAGAATATGGTACAAAGGGTGAAGGTCTCAGAACTGCTCATGTGCAGTCTATTTAGCCACTTCTCAGATGTAAAATGTTTACGTGTGAACCTTCATAGCATCAGGAGGAATCTCAAAATTGGTAGTATGTTACAAGGAATCACTGGCAGCGTTTTTGTTTTTTTAGCAGAACATAAAGTGTTTTAGGCAACTATAAACCTGGATTTGTTGAGATATCAGGAGTATGACTTGTTCTTACCAACAAAAACAAATTGTGCCTGTGTTTTTTGTAACTAAATTTTAAACCTGTGGACACTTGGGCCCCAAAGTAATCAGTGGATTGAGAAGGGGGAGGAGTTATGTATAGGGCCAGGTTCATAATGATATATTCTTTTTGTATATTTGTTTGATTTAAACTTTTGTAACAAACACATGCCCCTGTATTGCTGATGTTGCTTCATCCTTTTGGATGAGGGAGAGCTGGCTGGTGTGCAGTGGATGAAGAGGTGGCACGGTAAGCCATCACTCTTCCCCTTCCCAGTTGGGGTCTGGCTGTCCAGCACCCCAAAGTGCCCCTCCCTCCCCTAGCCCTACTCCAGCAGGTAGCCTAAGGATCCTGAGGCCCACATTGCTCCCCACTGACACGGAGCTACACATCCAAAGTGAGAGCAGTTAGAGGCCAAGGTTGGGAGCCCAGTGCCCTCAGCAGATGCCTTGGTTGTTCCCAGTCCCACTCCTGCACCCTTCTCTGAGTTCATCGACAGCAAGTGTGTCACACGTCTATCAGGGAGCTGATGCCACCGGAGACAATCTGGAACTGTGGTGGGTTGGAAGAGACAGGAGCTTTGGGTCAGTACTGCAGCATCCTGTTCTTCACCCAGATGGTTTTGGGGGCCCCTTGGTTGTCCTAGCTTTTGAGATCTCAGCAGTGGTCTTAGTCGTGTACCTCTCAGTGGCCGTTGTCCCTTTACTCCTGCCTCATGGGATCTGCTCTCAATTAAACTACCTGGTCTCATGTCCTTTTTCCAGGCTTTGCCTATGGATAAACCCTAACCAAGACAGTGACCTCAGGCTGTGTTTGGGATGTGTTAGCTTGCCGAAGCTATGGTAACAAAGTGCCATAAAGTAGGTGGCTTAAGCAGCAAACTTTCGATCTCTCTCACCTCTAGAGGACCAAAGTCTGAAAACAGGTGTGGGCAGAGGTCCTTCCCTCAAGGGCTGTGAAGTGAGATACACTTGCAGCCCACTAACCCATGTCTTGTCTAAAAGGATTTATTGTGCAGGAATGAAATAAGGAAATGTGAAGAAAGAGACACAGGCTGGTAGTCAAAGTAAAGATTTATCCTTGGATCAGAACCTTTTAGATCTTGCAATTTGCATATACAAAGAATTCAGCAACATTCACTGGCATTATAATCAGAGCAAGATCACACTTTAAGTGTAATAAAAGAAAATATGACAGTTGGAACTGTAATACATACATATATTATAAAGATTGCACATAAATTAAACACGGCTTAGTTAATCAAACAAATGGAACTGTATCAGTAATCATACATTTAAAAAAAATAACATGGGCACGATCGCCAAATGCTGAAACACAGGTATCAGGTTCATTTCAAAAAGTTTTTAGAAACACATAAAAATACCTTTGAAAACACCAGTATGCATTCTTCATTCTTCTAGCACATGGAGAGAAGGAGTAAGGTAAGTCACACAGTGACTGACGGGCATCCTGATCAGAACAGTAAACTTCTGATCACTATTTGGCATTTGAATGCAACTGCATGCAACAGAGAGAATGTGAAAGGAGAAGTGTTCTTGCCAGTGCTGGGCAGATTTGTTATGTATACTTGACTTTATTTGACTGATGGAAGAAGAGAAGAACATGCCAAGTGGACAGAGAAGATGCCGAGGCCCCTGGCTATTCCCTCTGCACACAGCTGCTCTAGAGGCACAGGGAGACTGTCTGAACTTGGCCTTGGCTGAGGCTATGAGGCTCAGTGACCGCTCTCCCTGACTGGGGAAGGGGCCGTATATCCACCTGACTCTGGCTTCTGTTTGTTTCCGGAATGGGAAGAGTTTGGGAGCAGGGAGAATCTCTGCAGTGGATACCTGTGATGGTCATAGTGGACAAGGGCAGGCAAACCACAAACAGAACACTGTCCTGAGCACACCCTGAAAAGATCTATCCATAAAGGCATTTCTTGATACAAGAGATGCCAGACAGACCATTGAAAGGCTTCAAGGATTCTGACCACCAACTCCTAAAATTAGGGCAGACTCCATGGTCCTTGACTTTGAACTCTAAAAAACTACCAGCTTAATGTCACCTTCATCCTAATGGGCTCCGGGTGCTGAATGAAAATGTATTTTCCTCTCTTCTCCTTTAGTCAAAGAAAGGCTTTGGGTTTGGTATTTCAACAATGGAAACAAATGGGATCAACTGGCAAGTTGCACAAAAGCTCCTTCTATTTCCTCCTTCACCTGCTTAATCATTGCACAGAGAGAGGACACACTCAGCAGTGGGGAGCCCAAGGTGCGGGTGGCAGTGATGGCAGTGGCCAGGCCACTGAGTGTGCTTTTGTCCTTCCAAGTGGATGCCAACTCCCACCCTGGGTGGGGCTCAGAGCAGTGGGGCAGGGAGAAGCTTGATGGCCAGGAGCCTGGTGAGGACAGTAACGGACCCTGGGGTTGCACCTGTACACACTGTGAACAGATAGGGGATAAACAGTGCAATAGGTGGGCACAATCAGGTCTCAGTGAAATGTCAAATAAGGCCTTTTATTTTTTTATATATCTTTTAAAAAGCAAAAAAGAAAAATGTACCAAAACTGCACATGTTCAATGTCTGTACTAAGTTAGACCAGATGTCTTCTTTTTTTTATATTGTGCTCATCTACTAGGTACCTAATAGCTACAGAAAGACAATGGTTATTAAATTGAAAGTTTCTACATTCACCTTCTTACCTCCCTCCATCCTTTGTAATGGGATCGTTATTATCAGTGTCAAAGTTCTCAGCTTCCAAAAATAAGTTAGACTTTAGATTAAGGATTTCTATTTCTCTTTTATTAAATATTGAGAAGTGGGATCTTTAAAAACTGTACAAATCTAGATTTTAAGATTTCTTTTCTTACAAACAATCTTAGCTTTTTACAAGAAATTTTTTAAATACCAAAATGCTTCTCAGAAAATTTACAGCATGATTATTTGCGGTCATCCCGCTGTTTCTACTCAAATGTGTGCTCCTCAACTCTATGTGTGTGTAAGACATTATTTGAATGTTTGGACGTGAAGTGGTTTCACATTGATCCTGCAGGTCTGGCTCGAGGGCAGCACAGGCACCAGGGGCTGAATGGGAGGGAGACTGAAAAATGTGGTAAGTTGGACTCTCAGAGGGAGACAGACAGATGGCTGGCTAGTGGTGCCCTGGGAGCCCAGTTCCATTGGCTGTTTTTGTTGTGCCCAAGGCCACAAGTGACTGGGATGGCCTGGCATTTACACTTCTCATCTAACCAACGTGGCACAGACACCAGCCTCTAAAAATATCACTATGTAATCTCTGACTACTCTAATGTGTTTTAGACTTGGATTCAGGTTAGAAAGTCTTCAGTTCTTAAAAGGTAGAGTTAAAACACATGTCTGCAACTGAGGACTCTACAAAAGTTCCTAGCTACACTGGGTTTCAAAAAATGCTGCAGCTCAAGGTTATAAAATCAGTTCGGGAAAGTAAGTTTTCAACTGATTTCTAAGTTCTTGGCTGTTTTCTTTTTTTTTTTCTTTTTTTTCTTTTTTTGGTACCTGGGATCGAACTCGGACCTTGCACTTGTCAGGCAGGCGGTGGAACCACTGAGCTAAATCCCCAGCCCTCTTGGCTGCTTTCTCAAAAATGGATTTTATATTTAGTGTCTTGGTTAAGCACACTTGGCATACTACGAATGATAAGATTTAGAGATGTGTAACATGTGACATTATGTGACATGAATCTAATGAAGAATTAATATTTTAACTGATATTAGCAGAAATACAGTACATATATTTTGTGGGGTATTATGTGATCTTAATATATTATTCCAATTTTTAAAAAGGGCATTTAAGATTGAATAACTTTATAGCAGGTGGCCTTTAAAGCATAACAAAATATATACAAAGAAATTAGGAAGGACATTAATGTCAACTATGAAATAAATTAACATAATTTTTACAAAATATGCTGACCATTAAATTAAAAAATATTTTAAGGCAGGACTCTTCATTTGAAATTAGCATAATCAGAAAATATATCAATAAAATCTTGTACCACTTTGTAGCAGAATTCATACTGTTCCTGGAAAGAAAAAAAAGAATACATTAAGGTGGTGTTCCAAAAATGTATTTGATTCACTTAATCAAAAAAACCAGAAACAATTCTGCCTATTTATTAAAACACTACATGTTTTCATGCACATCAGCTTCTGTTGCATAATTTAGTTTTTAGGTACATGAAAATTTCCAAGTGAAGATGTTTTCCTACAATGTCAATATTTTGTTTCAAATTAGTGTCTGAGTAGAAATTCTTTAGTTTTCATATTTTTAAACTGTAAAATTATTTTTGAACTGAAAAATATCAGATTACTACATTGTCAGATAGAGTTCATAATCCAAAAAAAGCACTGTATAGATGTTAAATAAAATAAAATTATTGATTACTTTGAAGCTTAAATTTTCTCTGCAAAGAAGATATGGTTTTATATAAATTTTACTCGAATTCTCAGAGTCATTGTCTCTATTTGCATAAGGCATTTCGGTTATTATAACACTTGTGCACAGTATCTGTTCCGTTTTTCCAGAAGGTGCGTGAAGACCAGAGCTGGTGGCACATGGAAGCACACCCCATTAACAAAGGGCACTCAATCAGAAGGAAGTAAGATGTGGAGAAAATAAGAATTGCTGAACTTTTCCTGAAAGGCCTACAGTAATTCTTTGGAAAACCAAGTGGGCAAAATGGTCAATGGGCAGGAAGGTGACCCCAAAGATTCCAGTAACAACAGAGAGCAGCTAAGCTGCCTCTTTACCCCTAAAGGTCTGGTTACTTGCAGACCCGAGTGGGATTTATGAACCGGAGAGAAGGCCTCAGGAAGCCTGAGAGGCAGGGAGCAGTCCTCAGCACTCTCTCCTCTTCTTTCCCAACGCAACGAATTCAGCCTTTTTGTCATACATTTGCTTGTACATCAAGCAAATATCAAAAGGCCAGGGCTGAAAGATGCTGAACATCACCCTCTTCAGCCTTCTCACAAGTCTTAGTCTGACCAAGATGAGGTAACACTAGGTTTTTTAGAGAAAGAAAAATTGGACCAGGAACTCTGGACCTGAGATTGCATGAAGTTATTGTGAGAACCAAGACTAGACTAAAGAGTCCTTGCTTCTGCCTAATAAGATTCCTACCAATTCACCAGTCCCTGGAAGGAAAAGGAAAATAAATTTACAGAAGAAATTCTTCATAAATCTATAAAGAGGCAAGTATCTTCATGATGCTCCTAAAGCATTTTCTGTACAAAGTGGCTTTTGACTTGACTTTTCATATTTAAATACTTCTATTTAAAAGCTACATCAATTAAATACCAAAGCTGACTCCAATCTGGGAAAGAAATGGAAATGGTTATTCATGGAGATGATTGTTTTCACAGCAAACACAAGCGCTAACTGATAACCACCCTTGTCCTGTCTTGCATACACGTTAGTGTTGGCTGGTGATGAATAAAGTGTGTTTTGGCAGAGAGCTGGGATGACATTGGCCATACCACAGGTCACAGACAGACCTTTCTGACCAACGCACAGTGCTCTGGGAGGACAAACCCCCTTCTGGCCTTTGGAATGCCTGTTCCAACCGAGTGATATCTCAGATGTTGGAATCGGGTCTTCCATCAGTGGTCAGCAAGTGGAAATTGGTTTGTGAGCCACTGCACTCATCTATGAGTTAAGTCAACCACATACCACATCTCTTTACTTAATCACGTAATCATACCCTGTACTCTACCAAAATATCCCTGCCAAGTGTGAGGTCTGGAGCACAGAGTAGTCTTTATGCCCTGCTGAGAGTTCTGCACCCTTCAGTTCTGGAGTCAGACAGACTGGGTTAAAACCTCATTCCAACACTTAATTCCTAAGCAACTTGGACCACCTGCTTAACTATCCTGGCTGATGACACGAGCAGCTCTTGGGAGCAGAAGTGAACATGGGGATACGGTAAGCACATAATGCAAAAGATGTCTATAAAGTACTGACCCCAGCAGTCATTAGTCAGTGATTCATTCGCCCCTCATTTGTTTACTAATTCACCACTTTTCTTGGAGCATTTACTATGTACTGGATGTGGGCCCAGAGGGTGACTTGAAACTCAGGTTGAAAAATGCCCTGTCAGGCTGTCACTGGGCAAGAAAAGCACAGACCAGAGCCAGGCAGCTTCCAAGAGGGAGCAGAGAGAGAACCTGGCAGAGCTGGCAGAGCTGGCAGAGATGAGGCAGGAGGGGATCTGGACACTGGATGATTTGGGAAAGAATACACTGGTCAGACCAGGCAAATTATGAGAGCCATTAGTGCCCCAACTAAACCGTCTTGGAGATGCTTTTGCTACAGTTGCTAGAGGCCTGTTCTGGGGCCAGGCATTTGTAGGACTTAAAGGAAATTTTGCACAGTGCCTCTAAGGGAAGTACCATCAGCTCCGATTGGTACAGAAAGGAACTGAAGCTCAGAGAGGAGAAGGAGCTTGTCCCAGCTCACAGAGCTGTAAGCTGTGAAGCCAAGATGACACCCCAAAGCCCAAGAGTCAATGGGATCTTGAGCCTTGGCCTTGTCTTTTACGTTTAACTGCTGCCTAGCGAAGACTAAAGGCTGCTCAGAAAAGAATTAAAAACAAGAAAGAAATGGAAAAGAGTCTGGCTCACAACTGAAAACTGGATTTCTTTTTGTGGGAGTTACTAATGGGGTTCTGTGTGACATTTAAACACTACTATTAATTTCTTCCTTTTTTGGTCTTTCTTTCTTTGGTCTTTCTTTTTTTCTTTGTGGTTCTGGGTCACTCTACCATTGAGCTACAACCTCACCTCAGCCCTTTCAATTTTTTATTTCAAGGTAAGTTGCCTAGACCAGCCTTAAACTTGTAATGCTTCTGCCTCAGCCTCCCATAGTGCTAGGATTAGAGACCTGTGCCACTGTACCCAGCTACTATTATATTTTGATCTACAAGCTCTTCATGCTGTCATCTGCCACCGCTGCACAGTTTGTGCCACCCCAAGGCACCTGCTGCTGTCAAGAGGCAGCATAACCGCTAGCAGACTTCCATGGGCTTCTCCAGCACCTTCTCAGAGCCTAACAGGGACCATCAGTGCTGGGACCAGGGCTCCAAGGTCAGGGGGAGCCCTGATTCCTCTTCCTCCCCATTGCTGTCAATGGTCTGGGTTCCCATCACTGTCACAGCTGCCAGGGCAGAGAGACTTCCAGAGTGAGAGCGAGCCAGCAACTACCCAATACCCTTCCAGTCTAGTGGTTCTTGAATGTGTATTCACTTTGGGATCACTTGACATGGAGTAGGGGTGCTGATACCTGGGTCTCAGTCCCAGAGATCAGATCCCATTTAATTGGTCTGAGGTGATGCTTGGGCACCAGTAGATAGGTAAATTCTCCCCAGGTGAGTGGCATGTGCACCCAAGGTGGAGAGCCTCACGCTAGCCCTACCCGGCAGGAAGGCAGACCCATCCTTGCTCAGGGGTTCTCTTTGGTATCTAAGCTCTGCTGTGATGGGGGCTGTGGGAGGGCCCTCCTCCCCACCTTTCTGTGCAGGCTGTTTGAGCCAGGATTGGAAAGGGAGGATGAGTTCTAAATAGGATGCTGTGGGGGAGATGATGAATTCTAACAGCTTTGAAAAATTGCACTTGTTGGTTTAGCATGAGCCACTGTGGAATTTATCGAGGAAAAATCTCTTCCAAAACCCAGAAAGTGTGCATCCAGGTAATGACAGAGGATGTGTAGGGCAATTGTACATTAGGTGGGCTTCCTATGTCCCCTGGAAAGGTGTTGAGGTTAAGTGAGACACTACCAAGGAAAACAGACCAAATGCAAAGGTGTAAAGTTGAAAATGACAAGTCCTAGGATTTTAAGTTTCAGTGTGCTTTTGAACCTGATAACAGTACAGTACACTTAAAAATGCACTGAGACCTTTCTCATGAGGTTTGTCCAGAGGACAGATCTGAGTCAGAGACCTAAGGAAGGATCTGGGTCTGTCCCTTTACTATGAAAATTAGCAGGTGGCTCTTTGCTTTGGGAATTGTACCCTCCCTCCTCCCCTTTACCCTGGAGTACCTTTAATGAAGAATCAAAACCATGAAACAATTCTCGACCCTTCTGGAGACTTCCTTAAAGTTCAGGTTCTTACCAGGGTTTGCACCATGTGTGGCCTCTGAAGTCGTAAGCTCTTCACAGCTTGAAATACATCTAAAAGTCCCTCAGCTTTTACACGTTCCAAAATGTTGCTGAGGGCAATGAATGTACCTGTTCGCCCAGCTCCAGCACTGTGGAGAGAAAGCACTCAGTGATGACCATCAAACCAACGGGGAAAGAAACAGACAGCTTACAAACAGTCCCCTGCATGTTGGTATTGAAGCAGGATCACTGCAAAGAATCAGTTTGACTGGATGTTTCACGGCCATTTATCTATAACTTAGTTTCTGAGCAAGGTCCAGCAACCCTAAAATTCGAAGCCATTTCGCTCAATACAGTGGTCTGATATTTCATGAAATGGCTTGGGACCAGTTATAGGATTTTAAGCACTTTCTCTCTCCCCTGTGGGGACCAGTGGCTCCCAAAGTGTGGCCCTCAAAGCAGCAGGCTCTGCATCACCTAGGAACTGGTTAGAAACGCAGACCCTCCCAGGTCAGGTCCAGTGAGGAGGTGACCCTGGCACCTGTCCTCTGCATAGGTGATGCTGAATGGTAGCATTGAAGCGCTATTAAGGCAGCAGGCACTTGGTACCAGGAAGTCAGATGATTCTTTCCAGATGACCTTTTCCAGGAGGGGGCACTGGACACAGCCAGAAACCACACAGGTAGGGATAAAAGGGGAGCTGAGGCTTCAGATCTGCAAGACTCACCCTCCTGCCCTCCTTATGATGCTTATCATGGTCCTTGCTGGGGTAGTCACTGTGGCTCTGGGATTGTCCCTCTGCTCTCATGCCTGACTTGTAGAGAGAAGTGTGGCTACAAGCCTCTGTTAGCAATCTGAGCCTGGACCCCGACCCTGCCCCACCCATGGTCCCAGGATAATCACCCTGGGTAGTTCTTCAGCTGAAGAACCTCCTTTTCTAAGGCCAGAAGAGAGAACACAAAGTGTGGACACAGCAACTTGAAACATAACTTGCAGAATGGAGGCAAGCACCTTGACCCACTCAAAGAGTTTGGATGCCTTCAACAGCATGTGGAAATGAGTGTCTGGGTTCTCTCCCGACTCCTTCCCACAGATGCATGCCGCATGTATGAGGAGATGACGTGGCTCATGCATTTATGTGAAGTTATATGTGCACATGTGTAAGGGAAGGTGACACAGAATCTAGGGAAATAATGTTACTGGGGGCAGTGACCCAGCTCTCTCTCACCCTATCTGTGTGTGTTCTGTGCTGCCCCACTTGGAGAGAGCCCCTGGCTGGCAGTGGGCCACTCACCTGCAGTGCACAGTGATAGGGTGGTTACCAGTCTGCTGCTGCTGCTTCTGCACGGCTGCAATGAGGTCAATCATGCCTTTGCCCTCGGCTGGAATCCCAATCTCTGGCCAGCCATGGAAGTGGAATTGGCGCACCATGCGGGCCTGCTCCTCCTGGCGGGTCAGCGGTTGCTGTGGGAGATGGCTTTCAGGGATGCTGGCCTTCGCCCTGCTGGGGGTCCACTCACCCTCCTGCAGATCAGGGCCTGGGCTCAGAGCCCTTCTGATCCTTCTGAGGTTCCCACTGTTGCCACCTAATCATTGAGGGGCCTTCCTAGCAGTTGGCTGTGCTTCCTTCTGCCTGGGTCAAGACGTCTGGAGGATATGCCCTAGATGCCAGTCAAACCCCACCCAACCCTTTACAGAATCCTGGCTGCCATGCTCCAGAGAAAGGACTCCTTCTCTTGGGAAGCCAGGCCTTGCATTTCCCTCTGAGGCTGGAGATGAGTCTAGTGGGGTGGATCCTTCTATTGCTGGCCTGGAGGACAGCCAGTCTTTGTAGAAGTTCAGCTTTCCTGGACTGACCATCTTGAACGCAACACAAAGTCTCAACCCTGAATGACAAGAGTTTCCACTTTTTGCCAGCATGAGCAGAGCCTAGGACCCAATGGGGACAGGGATGGCTGAGAGTTCTGAGAAAGCTCCTGAAAGAAGGCCCCAAGGGGCCTCTGTAGCCTTCTTCTTTGTATTTCCTACCTCTGCTAAGGTCTTTCTTCCCAGGAGCTTGTGGGAGAAAGCAAAGTGGTATGGGCCAGCCTCTCTGCCCTGTCATCTTCTTCCCAGGTAGGAGACAGGTGACCACAGAGGTCCGGTTTTATAGGAGTCCTGCAACTGGGTAATCCATCAGCCATTCATGGTAATCTGGGACTCAGGAAAAGGTGGTTGGGGCATGACATGTGACAGGTACAAGATCCCATTCTGGCACAGTGACAAGCAGCTCCTAGGGTGATGATGTTTGGTTAGGTCTATTAGAATTTTTAAATCTACGGCAACAATACCTGATTGAAGGTCACCAAGAAGTCTCGTATACTGATGGCTTCAGAAAGGGTGTCACTTTTTATCTCAATTGTTATTTCTCCATGAGTAACTGAGCCCTCTGTTGGCCAATACTGGTAGCATTTATCCTTAGGGGATAAGATAAAATTTTGTGTCATAACTTGCAATCCCTTTTGACCTTATGATGTAGAGTTCCTCCCAAACCATTTAATCTATTTCATCTGATCCGAAAATAATATATGAATATGAGTGTGAATATTCATGAATGCCTATTGAACAAGGGAACAGAATAGACATTTTTAGAAAGAGACACACACACATACATATATAAAAATTGTCTACATGATAGAAAGGGGAGATAATTCAGTAAATGGAATCTTAAAGCTTTCAGAATGGATAAGAATGCTCCAGCTTCTCCTAGATTTAGGTGCATAGGAACTGCACTACTATGTGTAGCAGCCTTGAACCTTAAAAACAAACCCAGATGGGTTGAGACTTTAAAACCAAAAACAAGACTGTAAAACCCTCAGAAGAAACTATTTGTTCACTCTGTGATGCATAAGGATTTACTAAATAAGGCACAAAAAGAGCTAATTATGAGGCAATATATCAATAACTAATTACGATGCATCAGAATCAGACAATAATAAAATTAACTTTTCTGCATCAACAAGCATCACTGAGTGAGAATATGGGCCACAAACTCCAATGAGGAATTTGGAATGCACAAAATCCACACCAGGTGAGCATCAAAATATGTAAATAAGTCCTATAAATAAATAAGAAAAGGGCAAACAACTCAGTAGAAAAATGAGTGAAAAGCAGGAACAGGCATTTACAAAGAGGAGATAACCCATCCATGGATATACGAAGTGATGTTCTACCTTGTGGGAATTGGAGAGATGCAGATTAAAGCACAGAGAGATATCTGCATCTATTTAATTGATAAAACCCAGGATCCTGAGAATATTAGGTACAATAATGAATGATTATCTTATACATTTCTGGGGTCCACTTTGAAAACCTCTTTGGAAAACAATTAAGAATTATCTTGCAAATTGATACTTTCACATACTCTCTACTGTGATGTTTTGTCTCTTTGGTATACATTAACTTTTGTGCATCATAGGACATGTGCAAGGAGGTACAGGGCACCGCTGTTTGTAAAACAACAAAGCAAAATCAACCCGAATGATGGGAGAAGGGATAAATAAGTGGATACAGGGTACATGACTTGTATAGGGGAATATACTGAAATAATAATGCTGAATGACTCAGTTACAGACATCAACATAGAAAACATCAAAAGCACAATTTTGAGTGGAAAAATCAAGTCTCAAAAGATTATACACTATAACTATGCTCTTTATATAAAATTCAAAGTCAACAAAAATTAAATAATAGTTTCCTTAGGCATAAGAATAAAAGATTTTAATTTTTTTTGTCTTTAGAGACAAGTGTCTCCCTGTGTAGTTAAGGCTGAGCTTGAATTCCCAGGCTGGCTGCAAGTTTAACATACTCTTGCTTCGGCTTCTGGGATGCTGGGATTACGCTCGTGTGCCATCACACCCAGCTGACTTTAAAGTATTTTTTTAAAAGCAAAGAATACCTCCACTAGGATGGCTTTAGTAAAAAGACAATGTAAGTGTTGGCAAGAAAGGGGAATAAATTGGAATATTTGCATGTTACTAGTAGGAATATAAAATGGGGTCGCTAGTCTGTTTCTCAAAAAATATTAAGTAAAGTTCATGATACAGAATTGTGATATGAGCGAGGTATGTACCCAAGAGAAATGAAAAAAAAAAAGAAAAAGAAATAGAAACAGGCCCATACAAAAGCTAGTTCAGGAGTGACCATAGTAACGTTACTCATAATCGCTCCAAAGCAGAAATGACACAAAGGCCCATCACCTGATGACTGGATAAATGAAAGTAGTATATTTTTACAATGCAATACTATTTGCCAGTAAAAAAGAATGAAATACTTGCTCATGCTACAACATGAAACCATAATTCTAAGTGAATGATTCTCACTTCCAAAAGACCACATACAAGTCTTATATGAGTCCACTTATATTAATGTCTGGTTTAGGCAAATTCATAGTCAGGAAGAGATTAATGATAGCTGCGGCTGGGGGAAGGGAAGAGGGGGAGTGACTATGGATGGTACAGTTTCTTTTTGAGGTGATAAAAGCAATCCGGAATTAGAGGAGACAGTTGTCCAAGTCTGAATAATGCAAAAACCCACTGAACTGTGCCCTTTAAAAAGATGAATTATTTGGTAGGTTAATCATATCTCAATAAATCTTGTCATTTTTATTTTGAAACAGGGTCTTGCTAAGTTAGCCATGCTGGCCTTGAATTTGTGACCCTCCTGCCTCAGTCCCCCAAGTAGCTAGGATTATAGGTGTGCACCACCATGCATGGCTAAACTAATTTTTTTAAAGCAAAGAAATCAAAACACAAACTCAGGGGAGTGGTCCTAACTTGGGGGAGCTAGATAGATGTACATTATTGATAAAACTATGGTTTTTCTGTTGGGTGTGGGTTTGTGAGTGTTTACTATGTTATTAAAGAAGGCCATGGATGGATTTCTGGGAAAACAGTAACATTTGACCTATTAATTTGAAGAGAATATTAGCTAGGTACACACATCAAAGTCTCTATATCTTAGAAAAAGTAAATAAATGCCCTTTGATGGGTTGTGATACTGATAAATACAAAATAGCAGAAATTCAAGGCAGGTAAATGTGGGCTAAGTAGGAAAACTGGCTAATCACTCTCCCCACTCTAAGCCCCCCACAAAGAAAGCAAGGGTGAGATACAACCTTTTCCTTTCCATCCTCAGTCATCCTGCATGGCCCTCCCCAGTGTGTTTTCAGGGCCCCAGCGGCTGAGACATGGTCCTCCCTGAGCAGTGGCCCTGGAGGACCTGAGCATGGTGGCACCGCTCACCTGCTCTCGCTCCTGCACCTCTGTCAGCATCACAATGGTGTGGCACTTCCACTCCCAGATCATCCTCCAGAAGTCCTCGACCGTGTGGGCTAGTGGGCCCTGGGTGGCAATGAAGTAGTCTTTCTGTCGATAACCCTTCAAAAGAAGAGCAGAGGTTAGGGCTGGACTTCCTTTTCTCCAGCGCCACCACCTGCCATGTGTGTTCAGGACAGCCCTGATGAAGCCTGATGAGGAAACGGCGATCTTCCATGCCTGCACCAAAGCCCAGCTGGTACACCTGTGCACACACATGCCCCACCTCCTCTCACACCCAAGAAGCTGGCCAGGATGCTTTGGCTGAGAACACACATCCATACTTTCAGTTCTTGAGGTCCTCTCTAAGTGGCTACTGTCAATTACCAGTTACTGTGGCTGTCCCAACAGTTCCCTGTAGCTTTGATGCTGCCATGCTTCTGTGTTCTACAGCTAGAGTCACACAGTGGTGATGCAGAGGGCCTGGGTGTGAAGCCCGAGGAAGGGGCTTCAAATTCCAGTTCCTCTACCAGGACCCCACTGATATCTGCGGCAATTTCTTCAACTGCAAATGGGAACACTAACATGCACTTGGCTGCAAGGTTCTTCTGTGCCTATTTTTCTGCTGACTTCAGTGTGCAGGAAGACAGGCTGCCTGTTCAGTCTAGACACAGTTATATCGTCCATATGGGTTCAAGTCACACAAATCAGAGTGGAGAGCACACAGAAGCCCTGCATGTATAAGTGTGTGTAACAACTACTAACAGCAGAGAAAAAAAATAAGCCAATTACTTGGACTGAGTCTCTGTCCTACTTCCAAAGTTCACTATTTATTTATTTTTTTAAGCAAATGATTCTGCTAATGAAATGGTTCCTGGTGATGCGTCAATTCTTTCTGTCGTGTCAATGAACTAATAAAAGTATGTGGTCATTTAGGAAGGAGACACACATTGCAAAAGCACACTCAAGGCCAAGATACATACGTCTATGAAGGATGCGTTGATATAGTCTGTATATTCTTGACCCCTTTTCATGGAAAGGATCACTCGGTTGAAGTCATCTGTAAAGTGGCATTTTCCATAGTTAGTACAGATACAATCCTGTCTTGCAAAATGTTCTTTTGGTGGTGCAGGGGATGGAACCAGGACTCATGCACACTAGGCAAGGCCTGCACTACTGAGCTACACCCCAGCCCTCCTGCCTTGCAAACTTTAACCTGCTGCTCCAAGCTTCCAAAATATAAAGTTTATCAATGAAATCAGATAAAGCTAACTCTTTAGGAAGTGTATGTTATAGGCTAAGAAAATAACTCAGGAAAGATTTTTTGTTGGAAATCTCTGAAAACAATCTAGTTATGGTTTTTACTTTTCATTTTAAAACACTGCACTGGGCCAGGGATTTCCACCACCTGCCTCAAAACCTCCTGAATTTGATCCCCAGTACCAAACCAAACCAAACAAACAAACCAGCCAACAAACAAAAAATCGCCCACACACAAAACACTGCATTTAAGGAATAAAGAGTATGACCCACAGGTACTGGATCTGCAGGCATAAGGACAACATGGTCACAGGGAATCCAGGGTCTGGGGCCGGGGAAGATTTGTCTGCTCCCTACAGCACAGGTGACTGTAGTGAGAGCAAGCCAGCACACAGCCACTAGACCATAAAGGGCCCACCGAGGACATATTGTTTACGACATGGCTCAGCTTCTTTTCTTCAGGCTGGGTGCTCTCCCAATCCCTTCTCAGTTCATTTTTTTGTGCAGGTTTCTCTCTTCCCACTGGGTGAGACCCCAGATGTGGATTCCTGCCTCCTTGCTGGCCTCTGCTCCTTCACTCACGACTTTGGTGGGAGGCCAGAGTCCTGGCTCCAGTCCAGCCCATGTCTTGCCCTTTTAGAGGCACAAGTCTTTTCTTAGAAGGTTCACCTGTGTTCACTTCAGGTCTGACCTAACTCCTCGCCATTGCATGGCCTCAGCCACGACACTCATTCTCTCTTCTGTGTAAGGGGGCATTGAATGAGTCACAGAATCAGTTACCAGGTCATGCCTGAGGCGCATCTCCAGGCCTCTGTGGAGCCCTCCTGGCTGTCCACTCTTCTGCCCTCCCCTGCCTCTGAGCCTTACCCCAGGCTGCCTGTCTGAGACCCACGTGAGACTGGCTAGGTCACCTGGGGTGCCCCAAGAGGCTCTTCTTTTCCTGACATCCACCTAGGAGCCGAGTTGGGCCCCAAGGGGCACTTGCCCGATGCTGCTCTACAGAGCACAGTGGCTTCCCAGTGTCTGAAGCCTGTGGCATCTAGCCCTGCCCTGCCCACCTGGAAGGGTGGAGACCCCAGCACAGTGCTGCCTTACATGGAATGATCTGGATGACCCTGGCTTTCTTCATGTTGGCCGGCAAGTTGCCCGTCCTCATGTTCTCCTTCATGATCCGGACATTGGTCAGTTTCTGCAGGTGGGAAGAGCACAGTGAGCAGTCAAAATCCCCTGAACAAAGCACTCAGCTCTGTGCCAGTCCTACTGGCAGGGCCCTGTGCAAAGGGATCCTGTGCTGGGCATGGTTGGTGCATGCCTGTAATCCCAGAACTCTGGGAGCTCAAGGCAAGAAGACCACAGGTTCAAGCCCAGTTTGGGTAACTCAGTGATTCAGTGAGACACTGTCTTAAAATAAAAAGTAAAAAAAAGGAGAGCGGGGGATTTAGCTCAGTGGTTCCAGTGCCTGCCTCACAAGCGCAAGGTCCTGAGTTTGATCTCCGGTAACAACAACAACAACAACAGCAACAAAAAAAAACACACACACACATCTCTGTCTCATGAAGCTGCCTCCGTGTTAGGAAATGAACGGTACCTGCACTCATCTGCCTACAAGCCCCAGTTATTCTTACCCCAAAAGTCACAGCCCAACATCTCCCTCCTTTTATGGGGTCAGTAAGGAGGGTGAGTGATTGAAAGAGGCTTCATTTAAACAGCTGCTGTTTCCCCTTTCTTCTGTTCACCCACCCCAGGACACAGAGGAAGCCTTGCGGGCACTCACCCTGAACTCCTCCTCCAGCCCAATCTTGTTGAAGTGGGTGGTGGTACCATGCAGGCTCTGCAGGTGCCTCTCCAGGGAGGACACATCCAGCTCCGTGTCCCCATAGAGGTAGTACTCCAGTAAGGCTTGGTAGATGAACGTGTACTGCACCTGCAGGACACAGGGCACCCCACCTTTGACTCTGCCCTGGGCCAGCAGGGCTGCTGTCTTCTCTTTTTGACGATGGGAAGAGGGTTAAGGGCAAAAGTCAGATCAGTGGTTATGCGGATTGGCCATGTAGGCTCTCCAGTAAAGATGGTAATGGCTGGTGTTTATTGAGGATGCCTGGCACCATCCTGGGAGATAGCATAATCACCCTCACAATGTATGAGGATTTAGGATGAGGGGGAACATTCCCTGAAGGCCCTTGGGGAGGAATAGAAAGAATAGGAAGGAAGCCAGGTCTGATGTTGGACCTCAGTTGTTCAGGGCCTGTGGCTATCCACCTATCAAAACCAGGGCCCACAGATTGTGGTAAGGCTGAATCCCACGTGCCTGGGTTTCTTTGTGAAGCTCAGACCAGGGTTGGAGGAGGCATCACTCACATCCGTTTGGACCATCTGAGGGCGCTGATTGCGGATTTGTGACACGAATTCGAAGACATCTACTTTCTGCTCTGAATGTATCATGTCCATCATGGCGTCGATCACGATGAAGGTGCCTGTCCGGCCTACACCCGCGCTTTGGAAAAGAAGACAGATGTCATTCTGTGTGTCACATTCCCCTGAAGTAAGTGACAGAAGCTGGAAAGATACCTGAAAGCCAGGATGGAGGACCTGGCCTTCCTCAAAATTATTCAATGCAATTTTACTTTGGTGAGCAAGAAGCAAGTCTAAGTGTGGCCACCAGAGGGCGCTGCAATATCAGTAAATGATCTCAAACTCCAGAATCGGAGAAACTTGAGAGTAAGCTTTGCATAAGGCTACATGGATGATTTTTTCTGTACTACCAAACATTTTCTTCCCGGTATCACTGGTATAATTGTGTCCTACCAAAGGAGAGTATTCTTCATGTGTCCCCTTGGAGGTGAGGGACCCTAGGGATCCCTGGCAAGGCCAAGTGGACCTGCCCGGAGCTCTGCTCCCACCATAACCCTGGCCTTTCTGCACTGTTGAGTTTTACTTTTGGGGTTCTTCCTCATATGACACGGGAGGGTCTCTGCTATTACAGCACGTGCTACAGGGAGGCTCTGGGCTTCCTTCCCTCTGGCTTTCCCTGAAGGACAATCTGAGCTGTGCCTCAGGAAAGGTACCTTTGTGTCCACTTCCCAATCTGAACCTCTGCCCACCTCAATATCGGATCATTGGCCATTCTCTCACCGGGCCTACCCCTTACTCCCACCCGCTCCCAGACATACCTGCAGTGGACCACGATGGGCCCAGCGTGTGAGGGGTTGAGTGCTCGCACTTTCTTCAAGAACTTTAGCATCCCGATGGGGGTGAAAGGCACCCCAAAGTCAGGCCAGCTGGTGAAGTGCAGCTGTGAGACAAGCCTCGGTGCCTTGCAGCTGTCGGGAAGCTGCAGCAGAGAGACATGAGGGGGTACACAGGACGGCCCTCAGCCCTGCCCATTTTGAGGATGCTCGCCTGGGCTCAACAGTGCCAGCCAGGTTGTGGCAGTTGGGGCTCATGTGGGGATCGACATCGATCCATGTGGAGGATCCCTGAGACAGAGCTCTTGGGTCTCTGCTGCCGGCTATGGACAGGACACCACAGGCTCTTGCAGAGGGCATAGGGTGGGGCCATGGGCACCTGGCCGTGCCTACATCAAGCAGATACCAAGTAGCTAGACGTGCTAAAGGTGGCCCCAAACCTCAGGGACCCCACCTGTTAGGAGGTGCCCTGCTCTACTCTGCTTGGACAGTCTCACTTTACTCTCTGGTCCTGAGTGATTAGCAACAGCACATCCCTTCTCTCTCATAGTGTTTCAATTCGGGGAGAAAAGCTGACAGGGTTTGTCTAGCTCTGGAGTCCCCCAGCCCTCCCCCAGAGCCTCTTTCAGCTCTCATGACCCAGAGCCCGTGAGTCTGTTCACCTGCCCCAGACCTGGAAGGTTATCAACAGCATATTTGGAAATATATTTGTGAGTATGCATATGCATGTCCGAGTGCATATGGCTGCATGGATGTGCATATATGTCTAGGAGAGAAGCAATCAGGGGATAGTAATAATAACAGTAAGTGTCACCTCCCCTTACTTTTTGCTGTGGCTTCTAGGAACTCTGGCCTCATATTTTTGCAATCTAATTACACCGCTCTGTCTCTGATTTCTGAAAAAATGACCTTTTGTTTTTACCATGGTTTCAAAATATCTTTTAAATCTCCATCTCATCGGCCTTGTTTGTAGGCATTTTTGTCGAAATCTACCTTAAGTCCTTTCATGGGGAACTAGTAAGAAATAAGTGTGAAAAATGAGGAGGTCTCAGACCCAATTTCAAAACTATTAAAAAATTCTGCCTCACAATTCCCCGCTTGTGAAATGATATGGTGCTCCCAAGGGGGGACTGTCCCGTTCCCCCCCCACCCCATCCTGTTCCCCTTAGGGAAGCCCAGAGGAGTCACTGGGAGCAGGAGCACCCAGCATCTGCCTGACTCAGGTAGGAGCACCCAGCATCTGGCTGACTCAGGTTCTGGGCTGACTGCCCTGTCCCAGCCTGGCCACATGCTCCCACCCTCCAGCCACTGCCCAGCTCTTCATACTACAACATGTAGAAAGGTCTCTACCCCGACCATGTGCTTTCAAATATGCCCCCAGAGGTCACCAGTGGCAAATGCTTACGGACTGTATGCAGAACTTCCGGACTGTGTAGTCCACCAGCACCACACAGTCTTCCACAGACACCCGGATGTTTCCGTAGGTCCAGCATCCCTGGTCAGGCCAGTACTGATAGCACTTTTCCTGCACGCAACAATTTATAGACCCAAATCCATTAGTGAGTGTGTTTCTCGCTCCACACCCTGCCTTATACCCCCGCCCCTGCCATCCACGAAAGGGCTCTCATGGACCGGTGGAGTCAACAGCTCCCAGAACTAGGACAAGCACATCTCCTTTACCGACAGGGAAAGTGAGGCCACATCGCTGATTAATGGTGGCCCCAAGATCAAGACTAGGACTGGGCTTTCTGATTTCAACCCAGTGTCGTCTCATTCATTCCCTCACTCATTAATCCCACATACTTCACTGAACTGGCGATGCTGTGCCTGCTCCCTTCCGAGCTGGGGCCCCTAACCTGGAAGGAGCCTCGGGACGGAGTGAGGCTCACCCACTCCCACTTTGTGAAACATTTCCCATGGGACTCACCAGCCTGTTTATAAGGACCTCGGACTACAGCATTGCCAGGCTCCTGCTCAAGAGTGGCCTGAGTCAAGCTAATGAGCCGTGCCCTCCTCTGACAAGGAAGAGGCTGATGCGGCACTTTATCATGGAGAGGCTGTTTCATTACCTTCCCACCATCTGAAATGGGTCTTGTCTTTGCCCTTGTATTTTCTGGCACACTAGCACCTAACTAGTAGTGAGCCATTTATCAGCATGGAACACATAAATGAATGTTGACCCTCTCAAGGGGGACAGGACCTGCTCAATATTCCCTCTGGAAATCTCTAGGGTTTCAGAAGCCTTCTAGACACTCAACAGTTAGTCTTGAAAATGGCCCCAGCCAAGTGCTCAGATTCTCAGGATCCATAATCTTAAAAGCAAAAAGTGCCTGGGATCTGCCAGAGACCAGTAGCTTTGTATTACGACATTCATGGGACCAGATACTCCCCCACATCCTGGCCCCAGCTGCCCTGCTGTTCATGGGGAGGTCTCTGACCCAACCAGAAGACACCCAAAGGTCCTGGTTTAGTTGACTCTGGGCCCCGTGGGGGCCCTGGGACCCTCTGAAATTCTTGCCCTGAAAAGCTCTGGCAGGGATGAGCCCAGTGGGCTCTGTGTGGTTGTCTCTACCCCTTCCCCCATCAAATCACAAGGTGCAAGCTGTGTTTCACAATGTGCTATCCAGGATGTGGACACTGAGGAGACCATGACTGAAGTGTAAGCAATTAAGAAAAGGGGAACTCTCTTGAGAAATGACTTCATCTGAAATGGTGGAAGCTGAGAGGCCCCTCAGGCAGCACTGAGTCATAAGAATGGAAAATCACAGTAGGAGGTGATGGAGGAAGAGTGGAGAGAAATGCCATCTGATGTGCTGACAGCATGCTGGGGGACATGGGGGCATCCTCAGGCCCAAGGCTGTTGCACTGGTCTCATGCTTCATGTTTGGAGGAGCAGCCTTTGGGAAGCCTAGTTTCTGTGGGACAGCGGTTACAGGGATGCCTAGGGCCCTGGTGGGGGGCCAGCCTGCCCCACTACAGTGTGGGTTCCTCCTCCCAGCACTCCAGCAGAGGAAGGGTTATGTGTCCTTTGCCCAAGAATCTCCCACTTCTTCCTTCCTGTCACTCTTCTGATGACAAGTGTGAGTCATACAGGGACAAGTTGTGATCCTCTCTGGTCCTGTCCCTTAATAACCAAACAAAAACCCCATCTTATCTTTGACCAACCAGAAGAGCAGAATCAGCAGCTGGAGACTTTTCCTGTGCTTTTTGGCATAGAATCCATTAGTCAGGTGGCAGTAGAAGTGGTTCTGGCCCCCACACTACCTGTGGCCTCCCTAAGACCTGGCACTTTCATCTGCAAGCTGCAGTCCCTCCCAGAGCCCTCAGCCCCTCTGAGCACTGGTGGGGGCTGGGCCAGCACCTCCTATGGCCAAGAGTCCTAAGCAGGGGCTGGCTAGGACAGACACCTCCTGCCAAATGGGACCTTCATGCTGGAACATGCTCAAACTAGTCTCCCACCTTGATTTCCCCACCTGAAGAAACCTCCCTGGGCTCCCAATTTCTTTGTTTGGAGAACTTGCTCACTACTGACACCAGATGCTGCTTATTGCTCCAAGCTTCCAAGACCTCCGACTGCCCCTCCTTCTCCCCTGGCATCAGGACTCCTGTTCCTGGCTCCTTGAACAGAGCTGACCCAGTACAGCATGTGCTAATGTCGAGGTGTTCCATGAGGAAGGGAAGCAGTTCGACTTGTCTTCTTTGTCAATGTTTCCAATTCAGGTAATGTACACACCTTCCTTCAATATACTTGTTTTCAAGTGCATCTCTCTGGTCTGGATGATAAACATGTGGTCATGTTCCTTCATAGTCTGCAGCCTGCTATGTTCTATGCCTAACACATTAAAAAAATCTCGGTTCTGTGGGGATTTAGCTCAGTGGTTCCGCTGCCAGCCTCTCAAGAGCAAGGTCCAGAGTTCGATCCCCAGTACCAAAAAAAAAAAAAAAAAAATCTCAGTTCTGAAGTCCCTGGCTCCCCCACAGTGGGAGAGGCATGGCCCAGCAGCGGTGACCATGCTGGCATTGCTGACAAGTGGTACCTTGGGGCAGTGAGGTATGAGGAACACAGAATTTATTTCAAGACTCAAGTGGGGTGGGCTACTGGCTGCTTTTTTTTCCCTGCACCACTAGAAGGAAGAGAAATAGGCAAAGGAAGTGGTCAGAGCCCTCCAGCTAAGCAGCAGCCTGAAGGGAAGGGCCTCAGGGCAGATGTAGGAGGGACTTACCTCTTTTCTCTCTTTCAGGTTTGTCAACATGACGATGGTGGCAGACTTCTGCTCCCAGACCATTCTCCAGAAGTCATTCACAGTCTCCTGTTTAGGGCCTATTTATAGAGGAGAGTGCCAGAGTCAAGGGCATGAGGAGAGGTCTCAAAAGACCTAGCCCTGCACCCTGTATGGGCCCAAAGGGCTTTTCAGTCCTTCCCTAGGCCCAAGACAGGCCTGTGGGGCACCTGAGGCCCTGAGATCCCACAGATAGCGGAGGCCTGGGCCTTCCCTGCCTGCCTACCCCACACACTGATCCACCCCAGCAGGAGGCCAGCTGAGCAGTTGGGCCAAGTCTAGATTACTATATTCATGGGCAAGAAGAAGGGGTATTCAGACAAGGACTGTGTGTCACAGTGGCTTGTTTATGCCGCAAAATAGCAGCTCCCTCCAGAATTGCTGAATCAGAAGGAGAGAGAGAGAGAGAGAGAGAGAGAGAGAGAGTCTGAGACTATAGGCTGATAATTCACTTTCCATTCCCAACCTCCTTTCCTTTGTCAAAATATTAATTTCTCAGCATAGTGCTCTCCAATAAGATGTGAGCTGAAGTCCCTGGGGATGGAATCTGAGCAAAAGTTCGAGTGTCACTGTAAGAAATTCCTTTGCCCTTTGTGTACTTCCTGTTCCAATACAAACACAATGTCTGGAGTTGCAACAGCCATTTTGAGATCCTGAGGCTAAAACTCCACAGGAAGGAGGACAAGGAGTTTCTCTCTTGAACTGCAGTGCCTGCCTTTGTCTGCCTCCCCTTGCATGGCTGCTTACAACGAAAAATATGTTTTTATCCATTTCAGCCAACATTTGTCATGTTTTCTTACATTTATAGCAGGGATTATTCCTGATGTCTTTTGTATATGCATGTATATGTGGTTTCTCTATTTCTCAGAGAACCTGGATTTGTAACAAACTCTCCAGGTGATGTTGATAGACAATGAATTTTGGGGCTTGCTTATAGACTCTTGGCCTAAGAGGAAGAAGTGAGGGAAACTGAATTTCAGCTCTGCTGATCACTAACCACACACAGCACAAGTTCCTAGGGAAGGCACCTCTGGCCCAGTGGAGTCGGTTGCTGCCTGGAGAAATGTATACGAGGTTAAGGATGTGTCTGCATGGCTGAAGCATCTCGACTATGGCCTTGATCTGAAAAGCTGCTCATCCCTCTGCTCATAAAACATGAGAGCCACACAGACCTTGGCCAGCTGAGAAAAGTCAAGGTTGTCTAATGATGAAAGCAAACATCAAGATGCCGGAATGGCATCTGGTGGACCACTGTGTACCCTCTGTATAAATCATGCAGGAGCAGAAATAGATATAGATGTGTGTGTGTGTGTGTGTCTGTCTGTCTGTCTACACACATCCACTGTGCCATGGGTCTCTAATGTGAGTTAGAGTAAACGCAGCAGTCCATACATACATATAAAAATTGATACAAAATCCTGGTATTGTTATAAGTATTCACATTCTTTTACTGAAATAATGTTCAGAAATTAACTTAAGAAAAAGCTTACCTTGAGCTGCTATGAATTTATTCTTCTCTTTGTAACCCTAGAAAAATAAAACCAGATTTATAATTACCCAGAATTAACTCTGATGAAAGATGCTCTTGTCGGGAAAGGAATACATATCACCATAGAGTGTTTGGATGACAGGGAGAAAAATGAGAAGAAAAGAAAACTCACTGACAATTTCAGAAATAAATGCTATTTTCACATATTCCTTCTCTAATGTGTTTTTTGGCTGTGAATTCCTCGCTCCACACACAGAAGTAGGTGCATCAACATTTATAGATTTTTTTTTTTTTTTTTGGTACCGGGGATTGAACTTGGGCCCTGGTGCTTGCACAGCAGGTGGTGAAACCACTGAGCTGAATCCCCGGCCCAACATTTATAGATTTTTAATTGGGCTAATATGTAGAAGTTCTTCATATCCCTGCATTTTAAATGAGAAATTTATAATTTATATTAAATGATCTTCTAAAGATCAATTAAAATGAGTTCTTAATAATCCATCACATATGATTTTATCACATTTATTTAACAAGTAACAATTTACTGAACTGGTTCTAGTTTGTCAGTAATATAGTGGTACCTCGGTTCATGAACTCAATTCTCTCCACGATTCTGGTCATGAACCAGACTGGATGAGAAGTAAATCAAATTTCCCCATAAGGTCAACAGTGAACCTAACTACTGAATTTGATTCAGTTCTTATCCAACTCATTTTGTGACCAGAATCATGGAAAGAATCACTTTGGTGCGCTGAGGAACCACTGTACCGTGAACATGGTTTGTTATCGCTGTGCTATCTTTGACTGTTTGGAAACAGATTCCCTGATGCAGATGCTATCTGGGAAAGTGTGGGTGGCTTCATGTTCTCTCAACTGTGGGTAGCCCAACTGCCCAACAGGGTGGTGACAATGTACACTCCGCCACTAGAGAGGAAATTGCCTATGGTCATGATTCAAACTCAGCCCCCAAACACCCAGTGGGTGCTTTTGTGCTGGGCCAGCCAGGGGAACAGAAAAATGGCCAACTTACATCTATGTAGGAAGCATTGATGTAGTCTGAACAAGGAATTCCGTCCACTTGGCTCAAAGTCACCCTGGAATGATCATCTAGAAAAGACCAGACAAACCCATGATGTTATGATAAGGACTCATGGGTGCCATATATTTATTTCATCTAAAGCCTGAACCATGAGAAAGGATGTAATTCGCTCTCTGCAGTGGTCACGGGGTGGAAGAGACATCTTCCTACATGTTGCAGTGGGGGCTGTTGGTGCCCTGAGGTGGGGATACACACACTCCACTGGCCCTTGACTAGACCTCAGCAGTAGACTGATGACAGTTCCAGGACAGGGTCTGCCAAATGACCACACAGACCCAGAGCAGCGGAGATTGATGGGTCCCCTATAGTGTGGCGACCATGTTTTCTGTCCCATATTGGGCCTCAATACTAAGCAGTGTAGTTTCGGCTTAGTAGAGTCTAGGGCGAAAAGCTGGCCCACTCTCCCGAGCTTTCTGGGAAAACTGGGTGTAAGGGGTGGGGTGAGGATTCTGAGACCCAATCCCATCCTTCACTGGCTGACCCAGGGCCAGAAGTAAGGAGGGCCCACACAGACCTGGAGTGGGCACGCTGGTCCCCCACCAAGGAGATGATGGCCTGCTGCACAGGAAGCTCATTAGAGCAGGAGGCTGACCAGCAGTGCTGCGTGTGTGTGCGTGTGCGTGTGGTGAGGTATGTTATGTATATATGTGCTTTATGTTCTCTGTGTGAGGTATGTGTTGCACTGTGAATATGCATGTAGTCTATTTGTGGTATATGTATGTGTTGTGTATGTGTTGCATATGTGTCTTGGGTATTGTATTGTATTGTATATGGCACTGTGTATGTGTCCAGTGTGTGTAGTGTGGTGTGGCGTGGTGTGTGCGTGTGGTTATGTTTGTGTACTATATGTTCTCTATGTGTGGTGTGTATGTGTGTTGTGTGTTAAGTGTGTGTATGTATTGCATGTGTGTTGTGTGTATGACATCATGTGAGTGGGCTGTGTGTAGTGTCATGTGTGGTGTGTGGTGTGGTATACGTGTGCCTGTCAGGGAGGCTTCAACCAGGGCTCCATCACAATTTTTGCAAGGTGCAGTTAGTTCTGCCTTCCTTCGTGGGCCTTTCATCCACAAGAACGTGAAAAATGTTGCTTTGCCACTGCGTTAGTTATTAGTGAAAAGAGAGCTGGATTGTGTACTTTTTTCTGATTTTAAGGAAATAAGAATATTTTCATGTCCCTGAAGGTACTGTGGGCCACAGTGCCCTTCCTGGTGGGGGAGCACACTGGCCACCTTGCCGAGGGCTCCCAAACTCTGTGGGCCCAGGACAAGGCTGCTTCAAGAGTGTTTGGAGCTGGGAGCATGGTGGGTGCTTAGTACCTGTTCCCTGGGTCCTTGTGATTAAATCCAGATCCTTGTCCTCCTCTCTTGCCCTGTGGCCTCTCCTCTCAGAGGAGGCTGTGGGGCGGGGGGGGGGCGGTCAGGCCACACCTCCAGCACATCTGCTTGTCTCACTTTTACCTAGCTAGCTGGGCCACAGGCTGGTGGACTCGGCCCTCATGCCTATCCTTCACTGCTGGGCAGAGGAGGAGACGGCAGAGCTCTTGGGACAGCCAAGGTTAATACTGGGTGGGCCGGGCGTCAAATCCCAAGCCTACAGCCACAGACTTCACCGAAGACCTTCCTGCTAAGGGGCTGACAACCTGAAGGCAGAAAAAGCTCTGGCTGAACACGTCACGCTAGTTGAAAATAATTTGGGATGACTTACACTTTAAGGACAGCCATAGAAACACCAAAGGTAAAAAATAGCCTTCCGGTTACATTTAGAATCTTGTAGTTTCTAAGAGCTTCCTGTTTTCTCATTCTAAAAAGTCACACTTCACTTTCAAAGCATCATTTCCTAAAATTATGAGCTGTTGGTATTTTTCCAGAAAAATAGGACTGTTGGCCATGATGGAGCCTTTCCACAGGAATGAGCCCAACCTCCGGGTCTGTCCTCAGAGCTCCTCACCTGCTCCCGGCTTGGGGAAGGCCAACAAAGGCAGGGAGGCACCTGTGGCTGAGAGTGCTGAGTTGGTTCTCCCACCTCCCCTAGCGACCTTAATCCCCACACTGAGTAAGAGCTGGGCTTTCACAGCTTGGCCCTGGGAGCCCTAAGAGCCCTGTCTGTTGTCCCAAGGTCCAGCTGACAGTCCTGGCCCCAGCATAGCACCAACAGCCCCTTGGACCAGCAGCTCAATTTAATTAGACAGGCCTTGCCCTCATTCAGACGGTACCTGCTGGTCCTCACTAGGTGACAAAGTCTCCGTGCCACGTCCCTGAAATCCAATATCCCACTCACATGAAGCATACCTTATCTAGGCAGTGTCCCCTGCACAGCTGCCCGCACCCCTGGGCACCTGCGGGGTGGCCCTGGCGGGTGGGGAGGGGCTGGGGTTGGATCCTCACCCTGGGGCGGGGTCAAAGGAGAATTTAGGGAAGCTGAGCAGAAACCTGCTATACTTTAGCTGTCAGGGTGAAGGCTGATTTTCTTCTACAGTGGAAGCTAGAGAATGTGCCCAGCTGGGAGAAAATGGGCAGACAGGAGGACCTGCTGTTTGGGGGAGGGACGCTCAGGCGAGGCAGATGTGCCACCTGGGTTGTGGAGGTGATTCCCATAGCTGGCCCTTGATTCAGTTCCCACTGAGATAGCACTGGAAATACCCCTCCCCTCGCCCTTACTGGGGAAGAAACCCAGGGCCTTGTGCACGCTGGGCAAGTGTTCTACCACTGAAATACTCTTATAGGCCCAGCCCCAGAAACACTCTTAGTGAACAATGTAATGTTACCTTTAAGGGACTATGGGGTTTGTGATTGAGAAGTGTGGGTTAGAAACCTAGGAAGGCGGTTGGTGCCGAGTAGGTCCTCAACACACACAGGTAAATGAAGGCATAAAACAAATGGATCGAATGAGGTAATTAATTAAATCAGAAACTGACACTAATCTTACATGTCCCAATTTTTATTTAATACAGATCCCTCTTAAGGAGCCCTGACCTCCTGCTGCTGCAGTCTTCCTTTCCTCTGACCTGCCTGAGCCACGTCAGTGCCTCCCCTGGTCCACTAATTCCGGCAGCCCATCCTGCAGCAGATCCTCTTGACTGGTCCCACTGTGGGACCAGAATTTAACTCAGGCCAGCCCTCCCTCACCACTCAGCTGCATGACCATTGCCAGTGGCCTCCCGACTCTGGTCCTCCCTTGGCCACCCCTACAAATGAAAGACTATTTTATTAATTTCTCTAGTTTTACTTGGATCATTGCACTTTGTAAAAGCCATATACAAATTCTATGCATTTAAAATGGGAAAATATTATCTTTAGAAAGTGCTGAAGACCCCAAACCACAGATTGGACAGACCATAGCTTCTTGTACTGACAGAGCAAATGGATGCAACTAGAAGCAACAAACTAAATGCACACTGCAGGCTAGATTTCTGGTCCCAGGAGGCACTGCCTGAAAGGGGTGGTCTTTGGACCGGGTGGAGGTTTTGGCTCAGGTTCAGAGCCATTTGAGGCTGCTATTCTGCTAACACAAAGGGCAAAGCTGTCTATGGGTTGCAACCTGCCAGGATAACTTTTACAAAGGTGTCTGGGAACCTACAGGGTTTGTCTTGGCACTGGGAAGGCTGTGAAAGCCACTCCTAAGGCACAGCCCCCCAGCTGCAGCAGGTCACAAGAGGCCCAGAACACACTGTGTGTACCCTAGTTCTGACACCTCCTTGCCACTCACACTACCTAGCCCACAGCCACCATTTGCCCTTGGGTGATTCTAAGCCTTCCCCACCGGTGTCAAAGCTGTTTCTTATTTTGTCAGTTTTGTTCTTGGTCCAGGACCCCAGAAGATGCTGGGGATTTGCTGCTTGAGGCCAAGAGCCCTGAGTCCAAGGGAGAGGAGCTGCCCAGCAGGTCTAGACTGTGGCTGAATCTGATAGGAGGGGTCCTGCCTGCTGATGCCCAAGGCTGTGAGAAAGCACCCTGCCCTGCTTTCTCTGGGAGCCCAGGCCTCAACAGAAGCACAAGCCAGGTGACTAGAATGTGAGCAGAAAAGGTGCCCATGCCCTGAAGGCTCTGAAGTCCTGGGTGCAATGCTGAGCAGTTCCACAGACACAAGGGCTCTGATCACTGAGCACCAGCCAGACAGTCATGGGGGAGCTGCAAGGTAATGCAGAATTTAGTCCAAATGTCACTGATCATGCAAAACAAAAAAGTAAAATCTTACTGGGAAGAATGTTGGGATATCTGTTTTTTTCTCTGTTTTCTTCTTTATTTGCCAGTTCAAAAGTTCCTTGTATATGTCCAGATGGCAGTGACTGGAAAGAAAAAATGTAGAGTTAGCTCTAAATACGATGAGTCCAAACACTGTGCTCCCATCACCTTCCCCACTGAGCACAGGAAGTGAAACACATGTCAGAGCGAGCTACTTTCTGTTCATCATCTATCTCCGCCTCAGAGCCTGTACCAGGCATGGAGTAAAAGCTGAACAAGACACAGACTCTGGCTTCCATCAGGGGCTTCTGTCTAGTGGAGCCAACAGAGGTGAGGTTAAAATGATTGTCCTGTGGACCCTCAGACTGGCTCACCCATCCCATCATATCCCAGGCCTCACAGGCCTGCCCCAGAGCAGGCTGTCCCCAAGCAGGAGTGGGCTGACCCCAACAGAGCTCTGACCAAGGAGACACGAGCAAGAAAGACAGAGAAAGAGATGCTGTGATTTTAGGAAGGGGCTGAAGATGAGGAGAATGACCCTGGGAAGTGCCCTTGGACACTATATTCAGAACTCAAGGTACTCTCTGTTGACCAGCTGTACCAGGGCCCAGGAGCTGGTCAGAAATGTGGATTCTCCTAAACCTACTGCATCAGCACCTGTGTTAGCAAGTTTCCCAGGGATTTGGTGCTCTTGTTGCTCTAGACTCACCACCCTAGCAAACCCTGTTGCTCTAGACTCACCACCCTAGCAAACCCTGTTGCTCCAGACTCACCACCTTAGCAACCCCTTTGTTCTGGATGAAGAACTGGAGATGTGAAATAATGGTTCATGTGCTAGGACCCTAAACCTGGTAAGTGGAACACTTGGGCTTAAACTCAGGTGTCTGAGCTTCTAGGTCCTTCTCTTATCTGGAGCCACTTGCTTTTGGTCCTTAGTTGGCTCCAGCTGTCCTGTTTGCTCACTGTTGGGACTTGCTTCTCATGGTGCACACAGTAAGAGAGCATTCTGAACCTCAAATTATGACTTTCAACATTAAACCTAACAACTGGCAGGACCCAGGGGCCACTAGGATCCAATAAGAAGTGTTAATATTTATTCAGTATTTACAACGTGCCAGGCAAAGTGGGAGGAGCTGGATCATCTTCTGTGACCTTCAAAACTCACCTACCATCAGGTGACACTAGGATCACCCCTGTCTGTAGGGCTGAGGAATTTGAAATCCAAGGTAAGGTGATTGTAGATTTGTTCAGGTCACCAGGCTGGTGAGCAGACCTTGGGTGGGGGTCTTGGAGTCCAGCCTAATGAGTGATCCTTTCCTCATGCCTGGGAAACTCAAGTCTGAGTAGCTCCCTTCAAGTCCCTAGGAAATGGGCCAGCCTCACAGCACAGCTCCAAGGATCTCAGCTCTAAGCCATGCTGCCCTGGGTTCACTGGCACTTTGGATCAGGGTTTCTCCAATGGCAGACCCAGTCCCCCAACAAGTGCACACAGTGAGGTGCTATAGGGTCCACTTCTTCCTCTGCACTGGGGTCCCGGAAGAGCCACTGCCGGGGCCAGTGTGAATGGATCAGCATGGTGGGTATCTCAGCAAGGCCAACAGGCAGGTCTTGACCTTGTCCTCCAGCCACCGACACCTACTCCCCTGGTCTTCCCAGCTTCTTCACCAGAGCTGTCTTAATACCACCACATCAATCTTACCTAGATATTGAATTTGTGGTTACATCCTAGAGCTTTCTCTTTCTCTTCCCTCAAAAAATTTTTGATCCCAGCACTGGACATAAAAACCAGGCAGTAAAATGTAATGGTATATGATACCACGTGCTTGCCCAAACCCATGGAATGAGCAAATTTTAATGCACTAATTTGTTGGTAGCAATGTATCAGTAGTGGTTCACCAACAAAAACAAGTGTAGCACAATGCGAGTTATTAATAATAGAGGAAACTGATGCTGTGGAGAGATGGAGTATATGCGAAGTCTGCAGTTCACGTGCAATTTCTCTGAATGCTTAAAACTGCTTTAAAAATATAAAGTTCATTAAAAATAATAAATTGAAAAACCTTTAAGAGCCTCCCTGTTCCTCGGAAGGCAAGGTGGCCATGGTGTGAAGGGCAGAGGGGTGGGAATGGTGAGGATGGACCAGGCTCTGACACCTCCCAGCTGTGCAGCCCTGGCAGATGCACAAGGTCCAGAACATGGAGATGGGGTGGTGCTCCTTGGCTCAGTGGGTTCACAGAGGGTCAGATGGGGTGAGGGAGGCAGAGGGCTCTGTGCACGGCACTCTCGTAGCTGTGACCCAAGCATACAGGAACAGCCACCTGCAGAGACTAGGTCCCACACATTCTCCCACCATCAGGAGCTGCTTGGGTGGTCAGGGGAAATGAGCTCACACCCAGGGAAGGCTCTTTGGCAGTTGGCTTAGCCCTGCAGTGCCCTTCTCGCACCCAGTTCTACGAGAGGTCCCACCTGCTCCAACAACTGCCAGGGGATGGCTCTGATTTGTTTGTCACACTGGGACCTTTCCCGGTGACACCTCCTTTATATATTTCTATGACATTTGTCACTGGGTTGGTCCCAGGAACCCAGCTGGAAACAACCTCTGGGATGGAGGTGGGGGAGATCCTCTCCAGAGAGGGCATTTTTCCTCCACCAACGCAGGCACTCTTGCTGGGATTTAATCTGGAGCCTGGGAATAGACTTTACTAGAATAGTCATCTACTATCTCCAGGTAGACACTGTCGCAGTTACGTGCTACCCGTGGCCTTATTGTATTTACATGCTACCACAATCCTGTGGGAGGGGAGAGCATCCCCACTTCACAGATGAGGAAACAGGAGCAGACATCAAATAAACTGCTCAAGCCTTCTAATGCCGGCACAGATTCTTAGCAGTCACCTCACTGTGCTGATCCCAGTACCAAGCCCCTTTTATCCTCAGCAAGTTCACCTGAACTTTGGGTCAGTCATACATCAATGTCCAAACTCAATGGGGCTGAGCACTTAGAGACTCCTCTGGGTCCCTTTCACCACTCTTAGAAGAGGAGCTCAGGCCAGGGGCAGGGAAATAAAAGGAAGGGCTATGAGAGCTGAACTCAAGCATGTTGCTCTGAGGACCCGAGACCAGCTGGTCCCAGCAGGCTTCGAAGAGGAATGCTGCAAGAATGTGGCCCTAGGACCTGGCCAGCTCCTCCCTGCAGAAGAGAGGGGCAGACAGGTGGGGTGCCCGGGAAGCAGGACCAGGCCTCACCAGCTTGACTCTCAGTCCAGGGTCTTCCCTGCCTTACATCTCGGCCTGCCTACCACAGAACAAGGGGATGTACTGCTGAGGGGCTGTGAAAAGCAAGGCTGAAGGATCAGGCGTGTGAGGCATCTGGCCTGGGAGCAAAATGTAAAGAAGGCCCCCAAATTAACATTCTAATGCAATTTCTGAAAAATCCAACTTGTTGCTCAGAATACATCATGACCAACATATCAAACATTTAAATAATGGTAGAATCAGTCACTGATACAAACCACATTGGTGTCCAGGGCAACATGAGAATCCCATCTGACTGTGTCTTCATTTGGAACTGTGCTATCTTTTTACCATAGGCTGCTTGCATTTGTTTTGATATTTTAAAATATTACATTAAACTATGATCTGTCCTGACTATTGAGCTTTTCTGTGAGAGTTTAAATTTTGTGCCTGGGGCAAATGCCTCACTTGCCTCACCCTATTCCTGGGACCCCTCCCAGGGTGTGGTCCTCTCCTTTGTGTGGTGACAGAGCCAACTGGTACTGACTCAGAGCCCTCCTCAGCAAGCCCAGTTGCCGGCCACTGTGTACTGGGAGAAACCAAAGTTGAAGGGGAAATGGGACAAAGAGGGGTGGCAAGTAGGGAAGCTTGTCGCTGCAAATATGGATAGTTATTCTGAAAATGGAGAATTTACTTCTCTTGTCAAGCTGAGAGATAATACTGTGTGGAGCTGGCTTCCAATATGACCTAATTTCTCAAAAAGAAAGGAAGAAAGGAAGAGAAAGATAGAAAGAAAGAAAGAAAGAAAGAAGAGAGAGAGAAAGAGTAGGCAAATTTAGAAACAATAAAAGGGAGGTAAGAAAAAGGTGGATGAGGCTTGTGCTAAAAAAAAAGCAAAGTCTACACTCCCACCAGCAGTGGAGCAGAGTTCCTCTTTCTACACAGCCCCTTCAGCATTTGTTATTGGTTGATTTCTTGATAGCAGCCATTCTTTCTGGAGTGAGGTGGAATCTCAACATTATTCTAATTTGCATTTCATGAATGATGTGATGCTCCACTGTGGAAATCAGTGTGGAGATTTCTCAAAAAACTGAAACAAAGGTTCAATCTGACCCAGCTATTTCCCTTCTTAGTACCTTCCAAAAGAATTAAAAGCATCATACCACCGCGATATATGCACACCCATGTTTATAACGACACAGTTTGTAATAGCTAAAACTTGGAAACAGCCTGAATGCCCATCAACTGACAAATGGATAAAGATGTGGTTTTGGGCCAGGGATTTAGCTCAGTGGTTCCACCGCCCGCCCTGCAAGCACAAGGACCCGAGTTCGATCCCCAGTACCCCCCAAAAAAACCCAAAAAGATGTGTTTTTTTATACAATGGAGTACTACTCTGCCATAAAGAAGGATGAGCTTGAGACATTTATAGCTAAATGATTGCACCTTGAGATCATACTCTTAAGTGAAATAAATCAGACACACATGTGTAAATACTGTATTTTTTCTCTAGTGTGAGCAACTGAAAGTGGAAATAATAACTGAGATGTTTAGTGGATATTGGGAAATGGGAAGAAAATGTTCAATGGAAAGGAGAACAAGGTAGGAGCGAGGGAGAAAGGAAGGAAGGGACAAGAAAAAAAACTGAAAATAGAAGGAAAAACTAGAAACAAAGCTTTTGTACATAGGGAGGGGAGGGGGTTTGAGAGGGGAATGAGATAAAATAAAATTTATAAAAAAAATAAAACCTGGCTGTAGCATTAAAAACAGAAAAAAGAAGAAACAAAGTACAGTTTGAGCGGGCACCACCTTCTGTGCCCCTGGCTTGTTTCTGTGTGAAGTCACTGATCTGCAGCAGCATTCATATGGAGCCGTTGGGTGCCACAGCTGCACAACTCTGGCTGTTCACGCAACCCGGTGTCTGAGCCTCACATCTGAGTTGTGAGTTAATGAAGACAGGGCCACATCCGCACATCCCCTTTGTAGACGGGGGAAGCTTCTTGGAGTCGGCCCAATAATGTGCCAGGGCCAGGACAAGGCCGCAACCCTGGTGAAAACCCACTTCTCTCAGGCTCACCCTGCGGCACACAGTCATGTGCCCGAAGACAAGGATACCTACAGCGAAACTCCTAACTGTGCCGTGATAAACACTGAGTAGTAAAGTCCAAGGTGGCACTTCCCTGTATGCATGTGTCTGTACACACACACATCGGATTCAAAACTCAGGGTATTAAATGAAAACAAATTAATAGCACTAGGAGAGGTGTCATCAATCGACATTTGTATATTTTGTTGAGAGTTAGAATGAGCTTTGTTACCACAGGGATATGCCAGCTGGTTAAATCCATGCTCTGAGCGAGCCACTGCCTGTGCTTGGTTTATGGAGGAATTAATCCCCAACAGCAGCGGCAGGATGGAAACAGCAAGACTCTCGCTTATACTTACACACAGTACAGACAGCAAAGGGCTGAGCTTGTGTCCCCTGAAGGGTATCCTCATGACCGCCTGACTCAAGCCGTGACGATGACTCAGTAATGGGACATTTCCTACTCCAGTCAGAAGCTCAAGTTCTCAGAAGCCATGAAAGGACAGTTGGGGGCTCCATGGCTTTCCTGCGCTGGCTCAGGCTGGGGTCTTCTCCATTGTGCAGACAATGGTGTTTTCTGATTTCAGAATGTGTCACCCCGAGCGTCTGGTCTGAGGAGGCTGGTGCTTTCACAAGCCTCACAGCCAAAAGTCTCACCTTAGGAAGAGCCATGAGTGCCAGTGAGGCGCACTGGCCCAGGGACTAGGATCCCCTCCAAGCCTGGTATGGTCGGTGTCTTGGATAATTGCTGCAAGTGTCTGAGGCCTTGGAAGACCTGACCCTGGACTGTCACTGGGGACCTTGCAATCCCTAGCACAGGGCAGGAACACGGGACCCAGAACACTCACATTGAACTCCTCTCGGAACCGCTTGCAGTCGTCGGCCGAGCGCACACGGATCTCCTCCTCCAGGTGCTCCACAGGGATGGGGAAGTACTTCTTGGGCCCTGATGGGGACCTGCTCAGCAGCATCACTCTCTGCTGCTCTGCAGGGTCAGAAGAAACCGGGATGGGAGAGGCACTTAGTCGACCCCAGGGGGGTGACTCAGGACTTAGACGACCCCACAACATTCCTGGAGAAAGGGCCAGATAGAGGCGAGCAGTCCTCCCAGTCCCACAGCCCAGCGATCAGGGCCTGAGCAGCCGAATCCAACATCTGTCTCCTGACATACAGCCTTATTCCCTGCAAGTGAAGGCCCTTGCCCATCACAGACATGGCAACCCTCACCTACTCTCTCACTCACCCATCCACCTGTCCTGACCCACACCCCCTGCTCCTTCCAAAAAGGCCAGGGGCAGCTTCACACCTCTGCGCAGGTTTCTAGGTTCAGAACTAGAGAATAATAATTTGGGGTACAAGCTCGGAATAGACTGGAAACCTGGTAGGGTAAGTCCTTTCAGTCTCCTCTTCTTTGTAACAAATAGCTCTGGTTCCTCAAACTCTGTAAACTTCAAGTAAGAGGAACTCTCCTTTTGGGGGGGACAGTAGGGTGCTGCAAAGAAAGACAGGAGCCAAGGAGCTGTGCAGATAAATTCCTTCCAAAGTTCAGAGTGGGATGCAAGAAAAGTCAGGGGACTGGGCTTCTCTGTCTGATGATATTGACAAGGGCAACAGGATAACTGGGCTGTCACTCTTGCAAAAGGGCCTGTCCCACTTGCAGGGCCAGCTGAGGCCCAGCCAAAAACTTTGCCCCGAGGGTCCTTCCTTCAAAAGACAGAGGGTGGACAGGAGAGCAGCTTGGGCTTCTCTGGCTGTCCCTGGCTGCACCCTCTTTCCTCCCAAGCCTGCTGTAAAACAGGCAGGAGGGCGGTGCTGGGGGCAACGTCACGGTCTAGTAAGGGCCGTGGGTACTCCACAAAGCTGCGTCTCAGCTGGGTACTTCGTCACTCATACTCTTTTTATTATCTTGTGTTGGTTTTAAAATTCCATTTATAACCTGACAGCAAGCGTGTTTCCCCAAACCACGGCGCAGCCAGGAAGCTGACGACAGGAAGTTGTAGTCACTGGTCTGAACCAGTACCTTTTTTTTAAAGCCTCTGTCTTATCCACTGTTCTCAGTAGTCTCAGTCTCAATGTGTTGGAAGAAAAACAACAGGCCCTCACACAAGGCATTCACTAGTTGGAAACTGATCTTTAGATCTCAAAGTTGGAAATGTCTCTGACTCTGATCTTCCGTAAGTGGGGAGTGTTTTAGCAGAGTAGTTTCCACGCTCTCAGCTTGATTTGGAGACAGTACAACTTCAGATGAACACTTTAGACTATGAGCCAGTTTTATCACAGAACGATTTTAAACACCTTATTGAAAACCATTGTGTGTCAAAGCCCCATGAAAAGGACAGGATATGAACAATCTCTCTTAAAAAAAAAGTCACAAACAGCTCAGACATCCGTTTCGCACCGGACGTAAAAATGGTCTCTAAAACTTTTGAAACACAGAAACTCTATGGTTATTAGTAAATGGCAGTAAAATACCAGGTAGGGTGAGGTAAAAGTTGCAAAACCAGAGGACTTTAAAACTCAGTGTAAAAGGTAAAGAAAGAAAACAGCGCAGTGTCTGCGAAGACAGACCCAGCCTGAGGTGGGAGTGCCTTACCTTGCTCTTCCAAGATCCCGTTGGGCATCTTCTTGTCGTTGCTGCTGACCACGGCTTTCCTCTGCTTCCTGAACCTTAGAGGCACAAGATGAGTTAGGTCTCCGCACACCCAGACTTCCAGGCAGCCCCAAGGCCTGGGTGCAGTGATACCCACCAGGTGAGCCGGGAAAAGCTCTTTCTGCTGCTCATATCTGAGCTGTGCTGGGGCCTGGCTGGCTGACGCGCCTTAGCCTCCTGGCCCCCACCCCGAAGCCTGCAGAAGGCTCATTTCCTCATCTGAGCTGGTCGGGCTAGGCAGCGCCTGGGGACACTCCTACCTGAAGAAGTAGGCGGCGAGGAGGAGCAAGAGGAGGAGCAGCAGCACAGGCAACAGCAGCCAGGTGAGCAGCGACTGGGAGGTGTCAGGGTCCGGAGGGCCTACAGTTGGGGGTGGACTGTCAGGACCTGGGCGGGGGGCAAAGCCCTTCCTCCTGCACCTGAACCCACTTCCTAGTTTGCAAAGTAGTTTCACCATCTTGGTTCACAGTGTCAACAAAGTACCCTGATGCAACAGAAGAGTGATTTTTGTTGCTGTGGGGACTGAGGAAGAATCTGGGACTGGGGGTGGAGATGTAGTTTAACAGGAGAGAACTTGTCTGGCATGTGTAAGCCCCTGCGCTCCATCCCCAGTACCAAAGAAGGGAAAAGAAAAGGGGAAAAGAAAGAAACCAGGCCTGAGGAGTGGGCGATGTGACCTGTCCGAGGTCCCTGGTGGGAACACACAGCGGGGAGTGCCTGGCTCCCCACGTGGTCCCTGCTGCCTGCTGCTTGCTTCTCTGGGCCCCCATGGCACCTGCATCGCCCTGTGAGGAGGAAGTGGAGGAGGGCAGAGGTGCAGATGCCACTGCTCTGCCACACTGTCCTTGACCTGCCAGCTCAGCTGGGGCAGGAGCTCCAGGCACAGGAAAGCAGCCTGGGGAGACCAGTACATGGCGAGCTGACTTCCAGAGTGATGAGCTCCCAATTCTACCAGGTTGTGTGGCAAGCTGGCCTCCGGGCGCCAGGTACCATCCTCACTCTTTGTCCACCTTTTCGGTCAAGCTTCTTCAGTCAGAGAGAGACGCCCATCCCTGGACTTGTGGCTTCCCAGGACCCGCCCTGGCTCCATGTGCCCAATTTCTGACAGCCACTGGTGGCCTCACTGCCACCTATGATCCATCTCCTCTCCCCAGCCTGTCCACTGTCCCTCCTTATCACAAAGATTCTGCCCCAAGGGTCACCATGGCCCTTCCTCCAGGAAGCCTGCTTGCTGCTCTCCCTTAGCTCCAGAGGATGCTCAGGGGCCCGGGGGTGGCACTGCAACTCTGTCATCTCCCAAGCACTTCATATCTCTGTATATATTTTGAAGGTGTTCAGGTCTGTACCAGTCTGGGTGTCTGGGAGAGTCTTCTTGGTCCCTCACTTCTGACCTAACCCTGCCACTGTCTGCTACAGAGTTTCCCAGCAGGAGTGGCCTGGCCTGTGGCCCTCACACCCCCCAGCCCACCCGGCAGATCCTTGGAGCCAACACTGAGGGCAGGGTTGAGGGCCTGGCTGCTCCACGTACCCTGACTTGAGGGTCCCTTCCCAGCCAAATGGAGTCAGGTGGTCCGGAAGCATAGAAGGACCCCACTCCCTTCTGGGAACACCCACTCTCTCCTCTCCTGGGGCGCTCCCGTGGTGAAACTCTCTACTTCTGCAATGCCCAGAGGTCACGCTCTGGCTTAGCTTCTGTGTAGGGGCTGCCTAAACTGGCCAGTTTGTGGGGTCCACTTGGTTGAAGAGGGGAGCACAAGAGCCTATGCCCTCATATGGGGGTGTGGCTACTTAGCTTAGCCCACTGGGCCCAGGGGGAAGGTGGCCCAGGCTGCCTGATCCTCCAAGGTTCCCAAAGAAGAAATCCTCATATTTATGTGAGTTTTCTCCTTTTAAATATTAGTAATTGATTCAATTTAAATGCAAATTTGAAAAACAATGTCAGCCAGAGAAACCCTGGAGGTGCTGGGCTGCTTTTTCCCTGGATACTGGCTGTACACCCTCTAGGGCAGGTAGTAAGGCATCTGAGAGCCAGCTCTTGGGTCACATTCTGGTTTCATTTCATGCTGATGTGGCTCAGGCTCAGAAGAGAGAGGGCTGGGTGGGGAGCAGCTCCAGCATGGTGAGTGGGCAGTTTGGAGCAACCTCCTCTCTGGAGGGCTGGCTGGCGTGTAAAGCCCATGTGCATGTATGTTCACACACCCATGCATGTGCACACAGACAAGTCATGAAGGTGCATGCATGTGCCTGGCTGCTCACATAGAATCTGGTCCTGAAAATGGAAACTCATTGGCTGGGCTGTGAGGTGGGACCTTCAATCATTGGTTCCACATACCTGTTCCCCTACACCTCAGGAACCACCTGCTATGGGGAAAGCCCTACGGAAGGAGGCATGGCCAGCCCTGAAGGAGAGAGGTGGGAGGCAGGCGTGGACTGCTCCATCTCTGGGGGCTCCTAGGGAAAGGAAGAGTTGGGGTAAAGGAACAGGAGAGGAGGAAAGGGCAGAAGATGGGGTTCGGAGTGCGAAGCTGGGCTCTGCAGAAGAGTGGAGGTAGCCTCTGGAGGACCCAGCCGTGGGTGGGAGCTTGGGACCAGATTTCCAGACAGATGACTCTGTCTCCTCCCTCACCTCGATCCGATACAAGCAAAACAGGATAGAGGCCTCTGGAAAGATGTTCCAACTAGCACAAACACAAAGAGTAAATGTGTGGGAGGCAGCCTTTCCTTGAGTCTTGAGTCTTTCTTTGAGTGAAACTGAGTTAAAATCTTGGAGTATTTCCTTCCTGACATTTTCTTCTATAAAGTTACATTCATAAACATGCAGCTTTGGCAAATAAATGGAGATCCTACTCTCATTTCATCTCAGACTGCAAGGATTGTAAGAAGTACCACTATTCTACAAATGAATGAGGCAGAAAAACGAGATACTAATTATAATTGTAAAAAGCTACCAATTTTAAGACAGATCCCAATATAGCAAAGTTACATACGAAAGAAACAGATGAAACATACTCTCTCGTAGGTCCACAGCTTGCCTTTCTCATCCTGTCTTGGAAAGATTCCATGTCAGCATAAATGAGCTCTTAAATGTTCTGTGCAGGCTGCTTAGATTACCACGTTTTGGACAGACCAAGACTGCATGGACAGTTAGGCTGTTTCTACCTTTTTTCCTATTATCTACAATTCTGACACTGTGTCTATATAATTATTGTGTGTCTCACCAGTGTTTCTGTGGGAGAGCTCCTAAAAGGATCTTCTGCGTCCAAATGCACACATACTAAATTTTTAATAGAAGTGGCTAAGTTGCCCTGCCGAAAGTGTGTGAGCCAGTTTGCCTGGGATCTAGCAATCCTTTTTATTTTCTCAAGCCGACAGCTATAACCACAATGCCATTTAATTTGCATTTCTCTAATTTCTAGACAGTTTATCATCTTGTCATGATTAGTGAAGCATAGTTAATCAGATACTTTAATTTGCCTGTTCTTGTTCTTTACTCATCTTCTTACTGTGTTCTTTTGCATATTAATTTTTAGAAATTCTTCCTATACCATGGGTAATCACAATTTCTTATATAATTAGTACATACAGTATGTACCTTTAATTCCCTGTATAAAAAGGTGTCACAATGAACAAACAAAATCACTTCCTGTTATTTTGGCACACTGTGGAGATACGTTAACATCTCAAATGATACATCATACTTCTTTCAGGGGTTCAGGAAGGCTTCAAGAGCACCTCACACAGTCGGGGTCCCCACCTGCTCAAAGTTCTAGGCCCAAGAAGTCATCTGCACCTTGTAACAAGAGGCCTGTGTCACTCTTGTGTGTGCGACCAGCTGCCGTTGCTAAGCATGCCCAGCCCTGGCAGAGGCTGTAACGATGACTTTCACATTTGCTTCTGTTCTGGGTCACATGACACTCCTCTCTTCCTGAAAGTAATACCTCCCTGATGGTAGCAGTATTCTAAGCCAATGAAGTTTATTTTCAGATAAACTGAAAAGCCCCAGGCACGGAAAACATCATCCTGTTGGAGACCACAGTGCCAGCTTTCAGGAGAGTCCACAGTGCCAGCTTTCAGGAGAGTCCAAAGTGCTCCAGCACCTCCTGCCTCACCTTGGGGAAACAGCCAGCGGATGTGCACAAGCACAACTTGGCTGTCTTCCAGGTATCCCTATGTAGCCAGGGGATCAGCATTGGCAAGGGAAGTCAGGAGCTCAGGTCGAATTACTTCACGGAATGTTCCCGCGGGTCTCAGGCATCAGCCACCGTCATAGGGGCTCAGGGCCTGGAATGTCCCAGGCTGCAGGACACTGCTGCTGACCTGTACTTGGAGAGCTGGCTCACGAAGGGACCAGCGTAAGCATATGGGTAATATGTGCTCTTTCTTTTTAGTGATTGTGAGTTTCTGTGGCGTTTCAGTGTGAGGAAGGGAACACGAGGGCACTTGAGCTGCTCTCCCAGCTGGGGGCTTGCGACATCAACACAGTATAACTTTTTCCCTCCCCCTAAGGCTACAGGGATGCACCTTAGGAAATCTTATAAAGCCCTCGAGTGGGGTGGCCTTGAACTCTAACATGAATGATACCAATTTCAAATTGCTTTTTCTAACAAACTTTTTCTAGAAGGATATCGGTAATTTTGTTTTCCCGGAGCCTTGCAAGGACACATACTTTTATGTGTCTGCTTGACTGGACCATGGTTGTCCAGATATTTGGTCTAACATTATCCTCGCCATGTCTGTGAGGTTTATTTGGATGAGGTTAAATTCTGAGTTGCGCATTGAGCAAAACGGAATGTCTGCCCCGGTGTGGTGGGCCTCCCCACTCAAGGGAAGTTGTGACCAGCAGAAACTTCTCCTGCTAGACTCTCTTCCCTCCGTGACATCTGCTCTTCCTGGTCTCAGAGCAGTCTGCTGATTTTTGGAATTAGCCTGGGGCACTGGTGCTCAGATTTTGGACTTACTAGCCTCCATAAATGCATGTGCTACTTCCTTATAATAAAAAGATATGTATTTATACTTTCGTATAATATATATAAGTATAAAATTTCAATTGTGGATAATCAACATAGAGTCATATATTTCTATCTCTATATGTCCTGTTTTCTTTGGGGAACCCTAACACAGCAAGTGATATGCCTATGGGAGAGTCATATGGCTTGGTGACCCCAGTGTTAAGGACTGGAGTGGGAAGGGGACAGAGCAGGTGCCAGGGACCACACCAGGCACGACACAAGGGAAGGGATCAGTGCCTGCTGTTTACAGGCGGCTCCTGATGCTGCCACTGGGTGGCGCTGCAGTCACAGAGAGACCTAGAAGTCTACTAGGAAACACATGGATTTTGCCCAGGAAAGCTGAGTCAACTCCTTGGGGACTCTGAACTCACTCACTGGGCATGGGTTTCCCTGTGTTAGGCATTGTCCACAAAAATGATAATCAGGGAGTCTGAAGTGTCAGTGCCCCAGGCATATGGCCACTTCCCCGGGACACAGTTCCTGCGGACCACACTGAAGGCCAGTGCTGAGGAGCCTGGCCTCAGCATTCCAGGGTGTGCTCAAGTGTACGCATTCCTTTACTACTCAGTGCCTTATCACCTCCACCTCACAACTGGGACACAGAGAAATTCAGTGCTCGAGGTCACTCAGCCTGCAATCAGTGGACAGAGAATCGTAACTGCAGGCAGTGTGATTAAGAGGAGTCATTCTTGTTTCTTTTCCTTCTTCCTCCTCCTTTTCTCCTTTTAACTTTGCATAGTATTTATATATTTTATTGAGGTAAAATTACATACTATGAAAGCCACGCATTGAAGCACCCAAGCCAACTGAGTTTTAGTAAATTCACAATGTTGTACAACTCTTACCATAGTCCACATTGAGAACATTTCCATGTTCCCAGTGAGATCCCTCCTGCCTTCTGTGGTCACTCCCGTCCTGGACACTGGCAGCAATGGACTCTCACACCACTTGCTCTTTGGTGTCGAACTTGTTCACTGAGCCTGTTTCTGAGGTTCCTCCATGCTGGCGTGTGTATCAGTGGGCTTTATTTTGTCTAGGCCTGTGCTCTGCCACCAAGTCATGCTCAGTACTTTTTAACATTTTATTTTGAGACAGGGCCTCTCTAAGTTGTCAGGGATGGCCTCAAATTTGCGATTATCTTGCCTCAGCCCCCCAGAATTCTGGGATTACAGGTATGTGCACCACACCCAGCTCTCAGTGTACACTTTTTCTACTTCCTTTTGAGTCTTAAACTATAAAAAAGTGAGAGAATAGAATACCCCCCACCCTGTGTAACCCTAACCCTAACCTTTCTCACCAAGGCAGTGCAAACTGTGTTTATTTATAGCTTTGCAGCCCTGTCTACATCCTACCCTGCTTTCCCTCTTTTCCAAGTCAGTCTTAGAAATTCTAATACATCTGAGAAAGCTCCCACATGTGTCTTGAAAAGATACTGACTCTTTTTTTTTTTTTTTTTTTTATAAAAAGAAACCTCACCACTTTCCCAATCTAGCATGTGGGCAATAGACATTACAGCGATATAATTGGTATCACTGGCCATTCATAGCAGTGTTCACATTTCCCCTATCTGTTCTTCAGATGGTTTGAATTGGGTGCTGTGAGTGAGTTTGGGGATTTTAAAATCTCCTGCTCCCCACTTCCCTGTAAGGCTGGTGCCCGCTTTCAGCAGTGGTGTGGACTTGCTCTTGAGCACTCTAAACTCAGCTCTAGGGAAACACTGAACGTTCAGCCTCCCCAGCCTGCCTGTTTATTGATGGCACAGTGAGAAAGCCAGCCGGGCCTTTCTTCTCTCATCTCACCCACCTTGATCACCCACGCACGGTGCTAGGAGGTGACAGTGGGGAAGGCGGCGTCCTTACCTGTGGTCGTGGTGGTCCAGTTGCTCTCTGCAGTGGTGGTTTCGTTGTCCTTGCCAGCCCTGGCAAGACACAAGCTAAAACCGGCCAGCAGGAGAGGACAGAAGGGCTCCATGGCAAACCTGCAGAGAGGTAGGGACAGACTTAGAGGAGTCACCCACCTAAGGCCCCGAGGACCCCTGTCACGCGATGACCAGGATGCAGATAAGAACAGCCCAGAACCCTGGCTGCTGCTTTCTCAGATCATCTTCCTTCATCTTCACGTGCCAGGGGGATGTAGTCACTGTCATCACTCAGGTGCAAAGGAGGAAGCCAAGGCTCAGAGGTCCAGCTTTGCAGGTACTTGAGCCCAGGCTCGGCCCTCACCACTCACTGGGACTGCATCTGGATGGCTCACCTGGGATACTGGAGCCTCTGCAATCTGGCCCCCACCCTTTCTGCTGGCCCCACCTCCTTCCGAAACCCTATTCTCTGGCCAAACTGCATTTCTGCCACCCAGCAAGGTCCGTGTTTTCCACTCTGTTTCTTGGTCCCCCTCTCACTCTACTGGGCAATCTCACTCTCTTTATGGCCCTGCATAGAAGCCTCCTGGGTCTGGAAGGCAGAATTGTGGGGCAGCTTCGGGGCCCTTCCCTCCTCAGCCATGCCAAGCTCCCCTTGCACAGAGCCGCTGTGCGCCTTGGGGAAGGAGCTAAGTATGTACTGGGTGCTGGGTGGATGCACTAGGACAGACACAATTACAAAATAGATCAACACAGAAAAAGGCTCATTTGTGCTGGGGACCTGCAGGTGAACACCTCACAGGCCTGCCTGGTGCTCCATTTTGCTTAAACACCTTAGGCTGCTGTTAGAGGTGACAGGGCCTGCTTGGTGGTGTATAGACTCTTGCTGGAGGACACACTGAGTGGGGAGCTGAGCCATTTTACCCACCTCTTGAGACTGCACTTGAGGTATGGGGTCTCATACACCGAACCCCATCCTCGATCAGCCTAAGGGCTCGGTTCTGTCTCACTGACAACACTAGCCTGCATGGACCCTCCCTGAGGGTCACAAATGGACCAGGCTTCGGAACCAAGGCCAGGAAACACTTGCTCCCCAGGCTGTTCTCAGGGGCAACACTGATGTTTGCAGTTGAGCAGACATGGGTGTGAGCTTGGAAAACCCTGTTCCCTGCAATCCCTACTGTTACCATGAAAGCATTAGGAGCACCTTTTAACAGCCCAGAACCGCTAGACAGTGGCAATCACCACTTCCACATCTTTCTTCTTTTTTATTTCCAAAATACACATTTAAGATTTATTCATTTCCTTTTGGTGCTGGAGAACAAACCTCGGGTCTCATGCATGCTAGACAAGTGCTCTACCCTTCAGCCACAGCCCCAGTCCCTTTTCCTTCTTCTTCTTCTTTTTTTGTTGTTCAATTCTTTTACTGGTACATTGTAGGTATGCAACACAA